TGATGAAATTGAGAGAAAAGAAGGAAAAGGAGTTGACATTTTTCCATCTGAACCTGTCGTGCCATCTGAACTCCACGATGCACCGATGATCGAACGAGGCACGGCAGGAGGACATGAGGAACAACCTGAATCTGTTTGGGTTAATGGCAAAGAGCTTTCAAGAGAGAGCAAAGTTCGTGATTTGCAAGATGGTTGCAATTACCTTGGGATCAATGCTAGCGGGTCTAAAGCAAAGCTCTACGACAGGTTGTGTGCATATTTCAGCAAGCAATACCAGAAGGACATCGACAGAGCAGCAACACACCTACAGAAGCTTGAGAGAGGACCTGAAGTTCGAGTGCAAGAGAACAAGGCCGAAAGGCCATCTGATCCCAAAGAGATAGAGATGAGATGCATGAGGTGACGCATCTACCATTTGCTGCATGGTGCGAGGCATGTTTGAAAACAAAATCGAGAGAAGACCCGGACAGTTCAGAACAAGGACGCAGAGGTTGAGGACCCTGGAGTGCCTCACATCCAGATGGACTGGATGTATCTGGGAAGAAGTTGCCCATCGTTGATTCTACTGGACACCACATCGAGGTACGGGGCAATCTTTCCTGCAAGGACAAAAGGAGTTTGGCGTGCCCTAGCAGAGTTCTGTGTGAAGTTCTCATTGGGGTTGAACTATCTTGGAGAGGTGGTGTATGTCATGGATTCAGAACCCGCGACTCTAGGTTTGCTTGATATGATTGTTATGATCAGACAGGCAATGGGCTACAAGACATTGAAGAAGGCTGGAAAGCCATACCACAAGGGACGCACAGCTAGAGTTGAGAGATACATTCAAACAGTCCGGAGACAGGCTTGCACATTGATGGCTTGCGTTGAGGATAACATTCATGAAGTGTTAGATGACCATCATTGTTTACGAGCTTGGGCATTGGTGCATTCGGTTTTCTTGTTGAACAGATTCCACGAACATGTTGCAATTAGAGCAACGGCCTTCGAGACAGTTTTTGGACAAAAGTATTCTGGAAAATTGGTCCCGTTTGGTGAGTTCGTGTTTGGTCTTCGACAGCCAATGAAGAAGCGTGGCACCAGTGTTTGGCAAGGGGGTGTATGGATTGGCAAGGATGAAAACGATATGCATGTACTCCTGACAGCTGGCGGACAGTTTCACACTCGGTCCATCAGAAGATGTTCTCATTCCTGGAGGCCAGATGTGATCCTTTCCTTGACCTCATATCCTTGGTCGAAACACAAGAGCTCAGGGCCAGTTGGAATCTTGGAGGCGCCCATGCCAGTGATCCAAGAAAGAACAGAAGGACCAGATCCTCGAGAACCTATTTTGTTGAAGACAGGTGAGGTTGATGAAGATGCGGAAGCGGTGCGTGATCAACAAGATGTTTCCTATGAGCCTACAGAAGTTGGTAGTGACCATGGACAAGGCGGAGGAAGACATGCATTGGTTGAAGAACCTCTCGAACGACTGTCAGATGTTCAGAGGAAGAGCCTTTTAGGAATTCCTGTGATCCCCAGCACTCCAACACAACAGATAGAAGTTGACCAAGAAGGACAACCTGGAGAGAAGAGAAACGCTGAAGAAGGTCCGGAGGAAGATCGAGACACCAAGGCGGCGAGGTTTGAGAGAGCAGACAGTCCGAGTTCAAGCCCAAAAGCTGGCTTGTATGCTCCTTTGTACGCAGGCGGCGTGAATCGAGTTGACATGCCACATGGAGATGTTTGCTGGGAGACAGAAATCGATTGGGAGTCGATAGAAGCTGAACTAGAGGATATTGAACCTGATGCCATGAAGATAGAGGTGCAAAAGCTGACAGAGATGGGAGTGGTTCAGGTGTTGGACGAACAGGATATGGATCCTTCAGGTAAGTTCATCGACTTGAAGGAGGCATATGACTGGCGGTTTCGTGAAGGTCGGTGGAAGAGAAGATGCAGGATAGTCGCCAGAGAGTTTCGTACAGGTCCAACAACAGATGAAACATTTTCCCCAACATCATCCTACGCTGTTGTGCGCTTGTTTCTGTTTTGTCACCTATTCTTTGGCTGGAAAGTGGCAAGTTTGGACATTTCAGATGCTTACTTGACAGTGACCCAAAAGGAAGTATGCTATGTGAAGATTTCAGATTGGATGAAAGAGCTCTTGCAGTTGCCGGAAAGTTCCTTGTGGCAACTGAAGCGTGTCCTCCCTGGACAACGGAATGGAGCTCAGAGATGGTTCCATGATTTTTCACGACATCTACAAGCATTGGGTTTTGTGTCATGTATAGCAATGCCTTCAGTGTTGAAGCACCAGTCGAGAAAGTTGGCCATCAACATACATGTCGATGACGAGTTGGTGGTAGGTGAAAAGTTGGAAGACATTGACTGGGTGATTGAGGAGTTGAAGAAAATTTATCGATTGCAGGTGGAAGGCCCAATTCCAAAAGAGCCATTAGGTAGTGGAGAAGAACTCAGCTATTTGAAAAAGGTCTATGTGTTCCAGCAAGACGGAATCTATGTGAGGCCCAATTCCAAATTCACGGACACTCTGATCAAACTGTACGGTTTGCAGGACAGGAAAGAGAAACAGGTGCCTGAACATGGTTTGCTTGGACGACCAGATACATCACCAGAACTGAGCAATGAGAGACAAGCAAGTTTTCGAACAGGTCTTGGCACAGCAATGTATATGTCTCATGAAAGGTTGGATATACAGCATTGTGTGAAAACATTGGCTGGATCAATGAGGACGCCAACAGAACAGGCAGAACGGTGCTTGATCCAACTTTGTTTGTATCTCAAGAACACAGCAGATTTGTCGTTTCGACTTCCGTACATACAAGTTGGCACACGTATGTCAGGCAGGTTGAACAACAGACCGGAGCATGAGATTGAAGATGGTGTTCATGTCATGGAGATTTTCTGTGATAGCGATTGGGCAGGCAATGTCAATAGGAGATCAACCACGTCAGTTGTGATTCTTTTGAATAGTTTGGTGGTTCTTTCCTACAGCAGGACCCAGAAGGCAGTTTCATTGTCTTCATGCGAAGCAGAGGTTTTGGCACTTACCTCAGGAGCAAGTGAAGCTATGTTGTTGAAAGAAGTTTGGATGTTTATGGTAGGACAAGAAACCTTGCTAGAAGCTCGCAGTGATTCCTCAAGTGGCAGACAGTGGCTGCAACGAGCAGGACTTGGAAGACTCAAACATATAGATGTACGACTTTGTTGGTTGCAACAGGCAGTTCACGACAAGATACTACAAGTGTTGCCAGTGTCAACCCAAGTCAATATAGCAGACCTCAACACAAAGAAACTCACAGCCTCGAGAAGACAGTTTCTCCTTTCGTTCATGGGTGCAGTTCGTTTGAACGACGAGAACGAAGTCATTGAAGAGATTGGAGAACGAGAACAAATGAACTATTTTTCTGAACAGCAGTGGAAGAACCAAGTTCGCCAAGTGAGCAGGTGGATGAAAAACAAGGCAGTGCGACAGATGGTGCAGTGTTCACTTTTTGTGCAGGCAATGAGCATGAAGGGTTGTGCTGAAGATGGAGCAAGTGTGAATGTCGAACAGGACAGTCAACAGCAGTTATATCTGACCTTATTGGTTTTGATGCTTGTGGCATTGTGCAATTGGGTCTACAACCATTGGAACGAGCTGGCGGCCAGATTTGGACCGCGAGGACGCAAGAGGAGAATGAGTGAACGAGATGAAGAAGAACCTGACCCAGAAGGAAGGCGTGAAGTGATTTCGAATGACAACATCGAACCAGGTACAAGCAGTTCAGCAGCACCAGCTACAGCAACAACAAATAGTGTTGAACCTCGTCCTCCACAGATCCCACCGATGCCAGCAGATCCTCCGGCTAGGTGGGAAGTTTGGTCACCCGAATGGTTCACGTACTGGATGCTAGGCAGAGTTCAACGACGGTTGGAAAGACGAGCTGGACGTATGACTGAACTCGAAAGAAAGAAGTATGAAAAGAGGAGAGAGATCTTGAGATCGACGTTGGCAATTCTAGAACAGAACCCTGGAGAAGTTGCACGACGACGTGCGCATTATTTTTGCCAGTCAATGACAGATCTTTCGGTTGATGATGAGAGCCCAAGGGCACCAGAAGTTCCAGAGTTACCAGAACCAGGTGCAGAACCCGAAGCAGGACTTGAAAGGTTGAATGAACGTATGGATGAATATGATGGGTATTTCAGGTCCAGTCGAGTTCCAGGACGAAGCATTGAGTCTTTGGTGGATGATCCTCAAGCCATCAATAGACCTGACAGAGACGAAGAAGGAGAAGACGAAGGTGGAGGAACAACAGATGCTGAGAGTGAAGACACCCGAGTCGCCAGGTACCTCAACAGTACATTGGATGAGGTGTCAGACCCCGAGATGTGGATGGGTATTCATCATTACTCATCAGATTCGAGCGATGTTGAGATGGAGGAAGGACCAGAGCAACCAAGTGGTTCGACGGGACATTGAGCAATGGAGCAATTTACAAGATTTTCAATTTGCAATGTACAATTTCAAGAGGGTAGGTTGTTGAAACCATCTGAACCGACAACTTACTCTATATACACGATTGTGCTTCCTGAAACCATCTGAACCAGGAGCACAAAGCACTACGAAAGTTGAGCATTGGACGTTTGATTTCAATGTGTGAGAATTTGTAAAGAATTTTATGGGAATGGCATTTACTTTGCCGGAACGATGTGTACAGGGTATGCATCACACAAAATGAGGCGGACTTTCCTGTGACCCTTTAGAAGACAAGGGTGCCTCATGACAAGGAAGGTGAACATAGCCTAAAATCGGCTAAGTCCGAGGCGGCGTGTCAAGATTTGTCATGTGTATAGGTGCACTGTTTGCTAGTTGAAACTACTCCATTCGACCGTAGCGCGTGTGGTCCAAAAGATCCGCTCACCTTGACACCATTACTACAATGCCATAAGACCTTGCCGTCCCTCTCCGGTTAGACCGGATTCCGGTCGATGCCCTCTCCCTCTTCGATGTCCAGGACTTTACCACGATGGCGGAAGCAATAAGTCAGAAAGATTTGATTTTCGTCCTGACGCGGTACCTGTCCATCATGACGCGCATCGTTGAAACCTTTGGAGGCCAGCGCGCATGCAAAAATTACGCGTACACGAATTGGGACCAGGGAAAAACGCGACGTGCGCGTGTTCGATGCATTCATCCACGGTCGCGACGAATCGTTGGCTTGGATGACTCGCTGGTTCACTTGCTGGTGTTGAGGTTTGGAGATTTGGATTGAGGATGAAGTGTTGGGTGGGGTTGTGTTTCAGTTTAGTCTAATTAGCCATTCAAAGTTGAAGGAGATCCTTTGTCTCCATGTGCATTGTTTGACCGGGAAGAGATCCTTTGGGTACCCAATCTCAACAGGTGATGAATATAAAACACCCTGGAGACCAGTACAAACCCATTCTATCACCACGGAAAAGCGAGTGAACTGTGCCTGTAATCCATCATATATATGATGGATACAAGGTCGTTGCGCCGCACTCCAGGCGTTGTGGCGGAAATCCTGGGCGACGGGCTCTTGGTCTACTGGAACACGCCCCACTATACCGAGGCCTGTCGTGGGGACGAACATGCAGGAACGAACACATCGTTTGGACAAGTCTGAAGGTTTGCACACGAAGGGGTTCAGATGCGCTCAGACGGGGTCTTGTCTCTTCGTGGCCTCCGCCCTCAAGGTCATGATTTGCAGATAGCGGTAGTTTTAGGTGTTTTTAGTTTTCGAGTACTCAATGACTGGGTGACTGAGATCGAAATTTCCTGCTGTTTGCTGCTGCGCTTTGTCCACAAACTTGTCTCCCAAGTTTGCCTCCCAACCTTGTCTCTCTGTCTAACGGCACGCAGCATGTGGTTTCGGGGGAAGTTGCTGCCACATAAGTTTTGAAGATTTCCCGGTCAGCCATCTCTGAGAATCCAACGACAACTGTTGGAGACCTTGGAAGATTCATATAATATATTTGTGCGCATTATACTAGGGAGACCCCCAACCAATGGGTATTTTATGGTCTTTTTATTTGTCCAGGGAGTCTTTGGAGGGTTTTCCTATTTTCATACACTGATACACACCCATATTGAGAAACCACTGCAGCTCCAACCGATCAGATGGACTCCATTTTTTCGGGACGGCTGTCAAGAATCTTTGACCAGGCTTTTTAAACCCCGCGGATTGAGTAAAATGTCATGCCCAGACGCTACGGTCACAGCCGCTTGGTCCCTCAAAAACCTAGATTGGTCGACCAAGACCCCTCCAGAGGATTCGGGTCCAGGCTCGTGTCTGGGTGCTGAAATTCATTTGGGCAGCTCGTTGTGATTCGACAGGACCATCCTATCAGGGCGTGTGCTGCTGCGCTGGCCATGCAACAGGCAGAGAGAGAGAGACCTGAAACAAATGCTGTCAAGTGTGGTACTGGCTTTGAAGGATGAAAGATGGCACAGGGAGCTTGAGGGGTCTTTGATTTTGCCCAGTGTGTCAAAAGATATTACACGTTTGGATCCGTGTGTCCCCTTGTCCAGGTCTCGCTGAAAGCTTCTATACAGTATATTATATATACACATATAATATACACCAGCTCAGATGGTGCAAAGCATCAGTTGGTAAAAACAATCTGATGTTTTGAGGTTTGGATGTTCAAAATGTCACACGTTTTTTTGTCAGAAACGCGTCCGCCGATCCAAAGATTGGAGGCTCTTGCACCTTTGAACTTCGAACTTTCAGAATGCGGATTGTCGGCCTTCCCCCTGTCTGCCGCTCGACTGGTTCAAATGGCTACAAAACCGTGGCGCTGATCCCAAATCATCCCACAAATACACCAAAGTTGGGGGTTCCCTTTGGCAGAAAGAAACACATGTCACAAGAAGAACATTGGTCCGGGACGTTGGTTTGGGTGAGGATACCGGCTACAGGATGGAGACCGGATTCGACGGAGCGGTTCGGTCAGTTGAACACGCCACCCGCGTAGTCCGGTTCATGACCGATGGCCGTAATCACAAGGGACTTCAACTAGGCCCAGCTTGGGATCTTTTCTGTCCCGGCTCCCCAATTTCATAAATCATGGTCTAAAGGTTCAGAAAAAACACGGATTTGGGAATATATTGGCTCAGTAGGTGTGAGCAGCGTGCATCATCGCTGACTTTTTTCCTCTCCCGCAGTCTGACGGTCTTATGTTCGTGGATTGAATCTCGTACTCCTCAGGGTTTTCCTGAGATGCTAAGCCGCTAAGCCCAATCCTTTAACTAGGCTTTCTCGGGGATCCAAAGGATTGGTTAAGCAATTCGAGAGCAAACAAACAAAACTGTAGCTGTAACTGAAGTAAGTACCCAGCGGCAATACAAGGAAAGATCCGCTCAACCTACCAAAGAGCATGAGGATCCTGATCTTGATGCAACTTAGTTGCCACTGCCCCAGTCTTATAACTATATAGGGTTGGGAATATAAACGTGTTTGTTTCTTGTCCATTCCTGGTTCACCTCTGGGTTGAGCAATTCCTATAGAGGAACGGCTGAACACTGTCACCTGTCAAAGAAGCACCAAATAAGCTTCAAAGGGAAATTAGACTAGGGGCTCCTGGCCGTACTACTAGGAGCAAGGACGCTGCTAGTAGCTCCTGGCATCGCTACTAGTAACAAGAAGCTACTAGGAACATTTGGTAAACATGTGTTCCAAACATTGGGGACATCACGCCAAACATCACCGAACAACACTGCCATCAGCCATCACCGACGGTGAGTGTGCTGAGTGCTGGCACGCACAAACTGCGAACACCACAAGCAGTAAGGGAAGTGAGCCACAGATGCTGTGTTTTTGCCGTTTGACATTAAACATTAATAAACTAACATCACAAAGACAATGGCAACAAAAAAGCAACAGGCTTTCTAGCTTTCTACTCTACTCCCTAGCGCAGCTCTGCTTCAACTCAGGATTGGTGTTTTGCCAAGAGCACGGTGTGCACACACACAAGCGAGGTTCAACTGGTGCCAGGTTCCTGCATAATCACCTCTCAATGAGACATCGAGAGAAGCATGTTGTTCACTGCTCACTCACTGGTTCACCATCACCGTCCCACGCCCTTGTGCGAAGAAGCAGCAAATGATGCCATGATAGTGCCTGGTTGAGGACCTTGATCATCAGTATCCTGGGCTAGTCGAGAAGTGCAGTGACAGTGCAAAGTTCTGCAAAGTTCAAGGTCATTTAAAGAAGTCCCGTCTCAGAGTCATCAGAACTTGAAAATTGAACTTTAGATGGTGGAACATTGAAACAGATTCCTGACTGCCAGCCTGCCCTGATCAATTAATTGGAATGTTGAACATGGGAATCGGAAACATCAGTATTGGTCAGTATCAACCTGGTCGTGGTCAACTGCTATGTCGGACCGAAGGACATCACCATGTTGAGCCCCAGAAATGTCAAGGATGATTTTGCCATATACCGTGGGCACCATTCTGTCTCTAGTTCAGTCACTGGAGCTGAAGCCATATCCTGAGTTTCAGGCCCTGGTTCTGTTCCAATTTCCTGCACAGTTTGCATGAATCCAGCCTAATCATCCTCTTCAACATGTTGGGCGAAAACAAGGTGTCCGAGCCTCAGAACTTCAGCACCCCCGAACACCCACACTCCACATCTTGCCGGTCTCCTTTGGAAGAAGTACGACAATGTTTCTTCACACCACAGCTTACAGAGAAGAACGTCACTGGTCAGTCCGTGCACTCAAATGATGCAACTCTGTGCCCTGACCAGGAGCGAAACCACCTCTGCAGCTGCAGCTAGGTCATCTTGGCGCCTCTCTCCAGGCCATAGCCGTTTCCAGGCCATTCTCCCTTCCGGATCTTCAGTCCAATTTGGTCAAATCTTGGGAATCCGTTCTCCTCGGACTCCTTTTTTCTTTGCACTGGTAGTGCAAAGGGCCTTGAGATTCTACTCCAGCAATGCGCTTCCTTCGAATGTCGTCCCTCGGCATTCTGTTCACTGGTGAACGCGATAGCACTGGTGTTGCTGGAATTGGAGGCGCTACAACACCCTTGGTCACATGTGTCGAATTGGTTTTGCAGACTGGTGAGCTATTGTGCTGTTCGCAGCTGCAACAGCCCAGACTCTTCCAACTGTCGTTTCAGTTCTGCGGTCTTTTTTGTTTGCTCGTCTTGCTCTGTATCTTCTGTAGTCGAGAACTCCTTGAGGTCCGGTTTCCCAAAGGCTCCCAGATTGAGAAAACAAAATCGAGATTGACAAGTTCAATCGAGACATGAAATGTGCTCAAATCAACGGATTTCTATCAAAAACACTTTTTGAGAAAAGCAATACTGTTCAAGCATTAAAGTCAATTGAACATAGGCTTCAAAGTTCAATCACATGTTTGAACAAATCAATCGATATTACAGTATGAAATCTTGCTATAGTGTATGGATACATCTAGAGGATTGCAAAGGGGCCCAGCTACATCAAAGAGTGTAAATAAGGGGCTTTCCCGCCCACATAAGGTATGCATCCCAAAATTGTGCCTGAATGGGGCTATCCAGCCCAAACTTTCAAGATGCAATGCAGGAAGTTGTTTCATTTCCTGCCATGGCCGAGCTGCTGGCTTCCAGCCATGTGAAGATTGAGAGAGGTGCGTATCTGGACATTCCACCTCAAATTGATAAACCAACTCAGGGTGTTGCAACACCAAAATTAGTATTTTGCATCTTCACCTTCCTTCGACTCTGTCTCATCTTCAGAGCTCTCATCCAAGGATTCTTCAGGAGGGACAAGGATCTGGCTGTCACACCCTTCCAAGAAACCTCGTTCCTGGTAGTGGGTTGGAAGTGTTTGTTCCTTTGACATACCTGTCAGTCTTTCTCCTCTTGGGCACAGGTCCTGCCAAAAACTGCATAAGTGCTTTGAACCAAGAGCTACTTGCGTATTACAGCCATCGGCTCTCCAGCCCAAGTATGCACCAGGCACTCCAGCCCAAACATAAAAGTGTGAAGACTGAAAGAAACAGCCTCAAAGACACCTTTTTGTAGAGCTCAATAGTCAAGAGCACTTAAGTCCAGTTGGCCACTCAGCAAGCAAATGGTAGTTCAAATTTATGCACATTGGCATATATAAATGATTCTGGGCCATAGCACCAAGTGGCCCTTGGAGCCAAGGCTTTGCATTGGTCTATGTATTTGCAAGCCAGCGTGATGCCAAAGTGTCTGCTTCATTGCATGTTTGGCTAGCCAGCCATAGTTCCCCAGAAAGCTCTCACAGCTTTTCTTGAACTTCTTGTAGTCAGAGGGGTTGAAGACATATGATGGGGAGTCTGCCAGGTCATAGGACACATCCATGACTTTCACAGCCTCGAATCTTTTTTGGCCGCAAGCAGTGTCAGTGTGATGGCTGGCCAGCTCTACAGCAACCTTGCTGAAATACTTCTCTCTTCTGCCTCAAAGGCAGTTTTGAAGCAGGGGTATTCATCACCTCCTTGGCTGCCTGTCACTCAGATTCGATCTTTGAGTCCTGGCATGCTGCCCAACTCCTTCCGCAGGCTTGGTCCTGCTTCCAGGACGCCAGGTTGTTGAGATCATTCAGCCTGGCTTGTTTGTATTGGCCCTAGGATGTGGTCCTCCAATAAATCCCAGACCATGTTGCTAAAGACATGGAAGTGGAGCTGGGGTGATGCCACTCACAGCCATCAATGGGTGGTTCACTTCAGGCATGTCTTTGGTCTTTCTCCAGGCAGCTTCATTCCTGCAAGGCGCATGTGCGTGTCACATATGATGCAAGGCAATGGAAAAAAAACACCCACAACACGTTTTGGTGCTCAGCAGCTTTTCATGAATCCCAGGTTCCCTACCTGAAGTCAGTGAAAGGGGCTTCATTGCAGCCAAAGTTGTTTGTGCAGCTGCAGTATGGGGCCAAACATTTTGCTATCCAAGCCAGCCCATTGTTTTACCCACACTTTCTGCTGTCCAGCACCTCAGGCTCTTACAACCTGCCCTTGGCCTCTCTGACTTCAGCATAGGACTTGCCATTCTCGAACATTTTCAAGAGTTTGGCAGCAGCTTTATTCTTCTCATGGTTATGGAATTTGGTGAACGCCACCACCTGCTTGCCACAGACCAATTCTTTTTTTCATTGTAGGGCATGCATGAGTTTCCACCCACTACCACCTCCAGAAGCAGGTTTATATATTCATCACTTGGACACTGGCTTCTTCATGGCCGCTGCTGGTCCTGCTTGCAGTTTTTTTTTCATGGCAGCCCTCACCTTGCTTCCTGGGTGGCACTGGGCTTTCTGCCAAAGCACCCAAGCAAGCAGAACTGGCACAAGATTCCTACAGCTCTTTCCAGCTTGGCTTTGCAGGCACTGGTGCATGCTTTGGAGTTTTTGCAGGTGGATGCTTCACAGCTTCTTCTGCCCACGGAGGTCAACATTGTGTGCTGTGAGGCTTCGAAGCTGCTCCAGCCTTCTGCATGTTTGATTTGAATTTAGGGTCATCTTTAAGGCGTCTAGCCTGGCCATTCTTCCAGGCAATAGCTGGTGCTCTCTCAGCTCAAACCTGGCTTTCATGCATGGGTCCTGCAGCAGTATTGCGTCGAACACCTGCTTCAAGTCACAATGCTTGAAAAGCAGGCTTGGGGGGAACCTTGCTCAACTCCCGGAGCAGGCCAAGCTGCTCAGCCAAATCATTTCCCAGGATTGCTTGTTGCTTCTGCACTTTCTCATACATGCCAAACTGGAACGCAAATCCCAAGCCATGGTTTTTCCTTCAGCCACTCACACCAGCCAGGTGCTCTATGTCCACAGCATCTGTTTTTGTTCTCATGCCTTTTGCAGGCAGGCTACAACTGGGCTTCTGGGTGCTCAACTCCTACAATGTTTTCAAACAGGACAGCGAACATTTGCACAATTTAAGGGGCCATCCAGCCCAAACAAGCCTCTATCCAGCTCTAAGAGCAGTATTAACCCACACAAACTGCACATACAAAGATGTATATAGACGGGGCTGTCCTGCAAAAAATCAATCGAACACACGTTCTTAAAATCAATGGAACATTTGGTTAAGATTCAACAGAAAACTTGGTTTTATCGATTTTGACTTCTGCGCATGCAGTTTTCAATTCAATTTTGTTTGTAAAAAGCAATAAACATATTTTTGTTCAATCGAGGAGCCTCTGGGTTGGCTTTCGCCAAAGATTCTTACAGCTCTTTGAGATCCCGATGTAGACTTCCTCTTCGTTAATTCGATGAAGTTCTAGACCTTCCAGAAAGTCGTTGAATGCTGGCTTCCTTTTCTTGATGGCTGTCTTGATCTTCTCGATCTTCACAACAAGCCTCCTTTTGGCATCCAAAGTCCTGTGGTGCCCCAGGATCTCCTCTAAGCCATCGTCTTGGATGACCTCCTTTATCTCCGCTGTCGGCCCGTCGGCTTGAAAATTTCTTTTACACCAAGCCTTTGATCATCGACCTGAGCCCTTCCTCTTCCTTGGATTCGGATGCCGATGATGATGAGGATGATTAAAAAAAAAAATCCTTGTAAGCAGGAAAGACCTTTGCTTTGTATCTTGCTTCTTGTTTGCCTCCTGCTTCTTGGTCGGTCGAGGCCACACTTCCCTTCCATGCCGGCTTGCCTTTTCTATACCCCTTCCCTTTGGGGTTCCGCGTCATCTGCTGCACCTTTTCCGTTCTTTGTCAGCTATGATGCAGTGCAAGCCTAGCCAGCGCAAAAGTAGCTCGCTTGTTGAACTGTCCTTTCAAGAGAGCCTTTTGGGCCTCGCAGTACTTGCGCCTCTGCCGCGCCTCTGCGCGTGCAGCCCCGTATTCTGCATCAATGGCAGCCGCCGCACAGGAAAGCGAACCTGCTTGGTTCGGTTCTTGGGTTCCGGGCGTTTCCTCACCTGCAGTATACCCAAAAGAGCACTGCAACTGAATAATGGGGCAAACAAATTGTTCGAGGTTGTTGTTTCATGTTGTGTGTGTGTCTTTCCTGCGACCCTGTCCACGAGGATGGCGGAACCATGGTTCGGGCGGAACGGAAAAAAGAGAGGGTCACCCGGTCTGAAATCCAAAAACGAAGATCGTTCAGCCCAAGGTGCGCATTGGCATCAATTCAGGGGAAGTGCTCTCCGGCACCTTTGGATCTGATCGGATGCTTGGGAACTAAGGACAGGAGAAGGACGGAGTGCGCGTTCCTGGGGGCCCTTCGGTCCGGCTGCAATCAGCTGCAAAGTGCCCTTTTGTGACGGGTTCATGTAGTATATTACTTGATCTCCATTCGCGAACAGTTCGGGAAGCTGACAGGTTTTATGTGGAGCAAGGAGCTTCAGGTTGAAAGCATGGTTTTACTGAGTGGCATTCGGCGGTGTTCAGGTCGTTTCAGTCCGCTTTTTGGAGGAGATGGACCAATTGGAGGGTTTTTGTGCCTATTGTTTGGGTGGTGAGATGAAACTTCATCCAAATTGCAGTTGGTTTTTCATCCTACTTCTTTGGCAGGGGCGGGGTCTAAAGTTGGTATTGAAGCTGTCCAGCCATGTTGAAGAATAAAGGTCTTGTAGAACTTATAGGAATAGACAGGTCAGGTTGAAGCCTGCGGGTGACAAACCCGGCTACTATTATATTGTTTCAAACGTATGTAAACATTGCATGTATATCCGTTCTGTGAGTTGTACCATTAACATCCTCTGACCACAGACTTGCCTGTGCCTGTATCATTCAGGCGTGGATTTGGGTCAAATTCCCACGAGCCCCACCCAAAGATTCGATGCGGAAGTCCGTACGACCATCCCAACCGACTATCTCTTAGAGAAACTGACCTGTTGTAGCTTACAGTCTTACAGCGGCTAGACTGGCTTCTCACCAGGTCGTTCAGAAGTCCCCAACAGCAGTCACTCTTGAGGCGACAGGAAGAACATGGAAGAACGTTCTTCCCAAGTCCATGTCCTTCCTTAGGAAGATGAAGTTCGGTTGCATGGGCGACCCTGTCAATCTGGCGAGTCGACTGGAAAATGTGTGCAAGGCACCGAACGTATCCGTTCGCCGTTCGCCGACGCATCCGTAAGGACGTCGCCGACTCGGCTTTGGTCGGCTGTTCGGGCACGCCTGGTTACTTAAATACGTCTAGGTATCTGGTTGGGGCCTGGATTTGGGGGCTGTGCGGGCTGTGGATTACGCGTTTTTGGACTACCTTACGGTTTGCGTACCGGGGCGCCTGAGCTCAAAAGTGGTCGGCGGGGGATGCAAAGCTCACAGAGTTGATTGAAAAGGGGGTCACGTTTGGAAAGAGATCTTTGAGAGTCAATTGGAAAGCCATCTTGAGAGATTGCCTGCCATAGAAGTGTCAAGCGTGGAGAGGAAGAACCGAACAAGAGTCATACGATATCACAAGATGACATCTCGCATGCTTTGCTTGCGCGGATGTTGTGTCACTGGTAGGCGTATGGCGTGGGCATCATTATCTCTGGCATCACCTATGATGCTCGTTGGGCATTTGCTGCAAAAGCATTGCATGGCCATGGCCATGATTGTCTTTGGAAGAGAAGTGGTGTGTTGGGGAGAAAAGCTTTGATCGAAAGTCCGGGGGAAAGCAAGCTCATGAACTCAAGCTCCGACAAAGCGATCCCCGCCAAATATGACGTCGTCCAGTAATGCTGGAGTCCCCTTTGTTCTTCATGACCAGGAAGAGATCCCCAACAATCCATGATAATCCATGTATAGAATATATCATAATTGTATTATATGTATATGTACGACACTGACCATCGTTGACCCTTAAATCATTTAGACCCCAATGTTGGCAAATAGTCCATGTACGATTGTTTGGGGATGGCAAGCTCGCGCGTCTTGTGAGTTCATATTCGGGATGCATGTTCGATCGAAGGTCGCACCATGTCCCCACATGCGGCTTGAAAAAAACAAAAGTGGCCCTGGTTCCACAAAACATTTGCCTTGTTCTTGAGCACAGACTGACGCGTTGACGGGTTCGCCATTGGTACTGGTCTGATCCAAGAGACGAGGATCCAAGGATCAAGAGTCAGGCATATCATGGTTGCAGGCGGTAGTGCGGATTCAACAGAAGGCAGTGTGTAGGCATGTTCAATACACAAGTCATGGAACATAACACAGACCAAACATGCTATCTGAGGACGCGATCGCGGATTTCAGTTTCATTACCAGAAAGCTGGACATGGTTCAGGTCGCTTGGACATGCTTGGACTGGGCAAAGAGATGCTCTTATCGGGGTCCGTTCGGTCCACGCGTTCGGTCAAACGTGGTCGTTCAAACGTGGTCGGTGCGGGTGCGGGGTGCCATTGGGACTTGAGCACTGGGATGAGGCCTCGAAGCGGACTCTGTGGAGGTACATTGAACATGCCTCGGGTACCGTTTGATACACAAAAAAGTGTCCACTTAGAAGTAAGAATCAGCCAGTCAAAACAGCATTTCCTCCATTGGGAACCAATACTTCCTCCTGCATCCTTTAGGGTCAAGATGGAGAGGTTTGAGGTAGACCCTGACCTGTCCCTCCCTCAGAGTCAGAAAATTGCTCTGAGAGTGGGTCTTCGTCCGCGAGCAATAGTGGTTCGGTGGAAGAGAACCTGGCCTTCGAGATCGCATTTCAGGAGCAAGCCCTTGCCTCATGTTATATCATGTTGCTCAACGTCCACATATGATCCATCCCTGGGGTGATGCAATTCTTTTCCACAAAGCCAACGAATTGGAACATGGCACCGCAGCTGAGCAGGGCCCAGATCGAGCATGTCTCTGGTTGGGGCCATGAGATGACTGAGAAGACGGGATCCAAAGATGCATTTTAGTTCAATGTGTTGAAGTTGAAGTTGTTCTTCTATTGGTGTTGCCAAGCGTGAAGGAACTTGCACCATCTTTATTTAAGCAGCTCTGCCGCTGGTGAGACAGATGGCACAGGCTGGACTTCGCTGGACCTTGACGTCTGACTGGCACTGATAGTCAAGGTCGCTGCTATCTGGCCAGGTGAAGTTGGTGGCTGCATGTGACCATGCATGTGGCCCCTTGAAGTTCCTGCTGCCCAACTCCAAGCCTGAACAGTCAGACCCTTATACACATATTGTTGAAGTTCCAGGTGAGGTGAACATAGTTGAAGTTGAGCACAGTAACACAGTTGATCCTAAGGCTGTATTTGGACATGGAGGAGCGCACTTTTGATGGGTTGGCAACATCATCCTGTACGCAGGCGGATTTCCATGCCAACCGAAGCCTTGACAAAGCTTAAGTTGCGTTTGTCTTGATGTCTTGAAAGCCACTTGCTTGTCACACTGCCCTCACTCACTTCGCTAGCGAGCTGAGGTTTCCAAGGCTTCGCTTGCATTCTGTAAAATGGGATGAACGAGAAGGGAAGATTCTGGGTATTTGCACCGAAGCAATGGGCAGGACAAAGCCCGCGCAAAGTTGCATTGAGGCTTGAAGAGGAGTGGGGAAAAAGCTTTTGCGACTGCTTCCCACTCTTTCATGCACTTATGTTCACAGAACATGGACATGTGGCGCATAGTTAGAAGTGTATGCATGTGTGCTTCTTTGATATTTACAGTTCTGCCGGGTAGCTGCATGACCTCGTTAACATAGACCACATCAAATCATTTACTAAATTGAGTTGAACTTGGTCAACCACACACAGAGCTGCGCACATCAACCACATGCCAAAAATAATACAACATGACTCAACATGACTGTATTTTCGTTTTACAACATAGCTTCCATGAAGCGCTATGATGTCCCGAGCAGCTCTTCATCTTCAACGTCTGCTAGCAAGAGGCAGCGCCAGGCCTCTTCTTCCTCTTCTTATTCACCATCATCCTCAGCCAGTGGCAGTGGCACTGATGGCACAGATGATTGTGGGGGCCCAGTGACAGGACGGAGTGAGCTGTTGATGGCAACCTTGCAAATGTTTCCAGGCGAAACTGTTGGTGAGGAGAATGACCCACATGCGGCAGCAAATGGAAAGAATACCAAGCGCATTGAGAAGTTGTTGAAGCAAAACCTTTGCAAGTGCAAAAGGAACGGTAGACAGTTCTAGTTACGTGCACTGTGTTTTGGACCTATCCAAAGCTGCGCAAGACTATGTGCTCTGGGGGATCCAGCAGAGCACAGGGTGCACTGCGAAGCCTTGCAGGGCATCTGGCAATAGCGATGGTTCTGACAGTGATGGTGATTCCAGCTCAAGTTCATCTACTCTGGAACGGACAATGTCACCCTGGTTCATTGAAGGCAGGGCTTCAGCTTGTTTCATTTGAGCTGCAAACAATCTCAACTTCCAACACCTTGCATTTGCCATACTCAGGAGTTCAGGTATGCAGGGAGGCTTTTTGCAAGCTGATGGGCATATCTTCATGCAGGTTGGTGCTTACTCACCGTTTCTTCCAAGGAGAAGACCAGCGCAGAAGTACAGTAACTCACTTGCAACCCATCTAGCTTGTTTTCTACAGTACATGTCTTTGTTATCTTGTTGAAGTGTGTCTTGACAAACTGGCAGCCTGGCAGGCAACGCTGCAAAGCGCACTGCTCATGCAGCTGCCTCAGTCGAATCTTTCTGCGAGCGAATGTATTGGTCTGTGGGTGAGACCCTTCCACATGAGAAACTTGGCTGTCTGTGTGAAGCTGTGTCTTTAACCAAGTTCCAACTTGGGGGTATACACCAAGCCTGCTAGGCTTAAAAAACTCATGATCCTGGACAACACCTTGCAACAGAACCTGACAGGGAGCGACTATTGCAACTTCTGGTTGCGCGCGACGCTACCTCCCTCCAGGCTGCTTTGCAGATCTCTACCACCTGTATGTATCCTTTCAGAGGTCCAAACACATGGACGTCGCGTCACCAACAAGCTTCTATAGGGTTTTGAAGGTATCTGGCTGGCTCAAAGTTTTAAAGTTCAAAAAAGTTCAGACCGAAAATTACTGACTCAGGTTGCACCATTTGCCAGAAGTTGAAGGCAAGGTTGAAACATTCAAAGGACATCGGCGCCCATGCAAAAAAATTCGGACTTGTTGATGCGCCACCTTCAACACGCAAGGACCTGGCCGCCCTGATTCGCCCTTCATGCGAAGTGGCAGCCAGCCTGGTACACGGCAGGCTCATTTATGCTGCCATCGCTGGTGAAGGAGAGGCAACTGGATCTTCTTGGGTGCTTGGGGTGGTCAGCCGCTCATTTATCCTAGCTTTCCAGCAAGCCCAACAGCAGGGGTATCAATGGCCTCAAGTCCTCCAGTACTTGCAGACAATACTCCTAAAGAAGCTTATTTTTCTTCAGGAACAAGTGTTTTGTTTGTTTCCACTCTTGGCTGGGACTGTGCAATCCACGAGTTTCCATGTATGGAAGTGAAAACGGTGTCTTTTGAACATGAGCAAGCTCTATGCGCGGTATCTCTGCATTTGCCCAGATCTCCCGCGAGCACCTCTGTGTAGGCCATGCGCGTGAAGGTGTTGGCACCTTGGATGCGCTTCTTTGCAGCTTTGCCTTCCAATTTGTTGTCACTTTTGCCATGCCTACTTTTGTTCTGTTGATCTTCTAAGATGCCTTCTTTGGCCTCCTCACAAAGTTTGTTCGGCGTGGTGATGATGCAGTGTCTCATGGCCACAAATATATTCCTATTCAAGAACCATGCCATGTCCAGAAACTGTCACTTGTACCCTCCTAGAAGCTGAGGCAAACACCCCTGGACATCAAAGCGTTCCAGCCTCAATTGCTCACAACCGGCATACAGCCACCCATTGGTTTCAAGAAACTCTTGCGCAGGTTGCTTTGATTTGTGGAATCCTTGATTGTACTTAGGCTATTTCTTCAAGGTGTGGCGCCCATCTTTCTAGAGGAAGGAATCGACTAACCGACTTCCATGTGGACTACATCCATGCAGTTCGGAACTGGAAATCGGCCCTTCCGGCCATTTGGAAGTGTAGTTTCCTCATTCTTTTTAGATTCTTGGTAGGAGCATGCTGTCCGCATGCGATCGCTCAATCACTCTTTTGTTTTTCTTATATAATCACGCGAAGCTGTTTTATTCTTTCTAAAGGAAGCATGAGAAAGACGGAGTGAAACAGGTGACCACCATTTGAACCGTGGCGCGCAAAAAATATGTTTTCCGGGTTTTTCCACTCAAATGGTGGGAGGGTGAGAGCAGCGCAATGCATGTTGTCACCCGCCCTGTAGACCCCCCGTTCACGGCAACGTCTCTGCCTCTTGCTGACGTGTTTTTCCGTTGATGCCACAGCTGACCTTGGTGTCTGCTGATCTTGCTGCTCGATTGGCAGTTCCTGCTCTGAATAGTTTTCGAACGTTTGTCACATTTGGGAGCAGATCTTGACGCCTTCTTTTGTTTACCCTCAACTTCGCAGCATCGAAGCTGCACTGTTGCACGCACTCGCCCGTTGAGTGTTCCAGCTCTTGCTTCAGTTGATCAGATGACTTTGTGCTTTCCGTCTTGTGAAACGAAACGATGTCACTGTGTGAAGAAGGTTAGGGATTGAGTCAAGAATCTCAAAAGGTGTGGCTGACTTGGCTGGGGCATACCGCAAGAGATCCAAGGGTGATACAAACATCATTCCCCACTCGTTCGCTTTCTTACAGCGGATCCGCTTCTTGTCTCAATACAGACTTCAATGAATGAATGAACGGCAGAATGACCAAGTGGTTGCTGTGTGGCTCTGTGCGAAAGCACGCCAATGACTAGTCCACAGCCGAGGCATGCCTTCCACATTACTCGAGGATGTAAAACAAAGACTGCCTCGAAGGTTTCAACAGCGATCCAATGATATTTTTTGTTTGGTGAAAGCCTTTGTGAGCGACAAGGGCTTCTCACAGTCTGCACTTCTTGTGCTCCCTGGAGACACTGTGGAAGAGGCAGTGAGTCCAGCTCTTGAAGCAATTGCTAACGCTGACTGCCCCAGACCCTTGCTTAAACTAATTTGTTATCTATTTTCCATTTACTACCTCTCATGGTGATTGGTGATTTGCATCCCTGCTTGAGTCAATCAGTCAGCTGATCAGCTGAGGGACCGCGCGCTACCTGGATGATGAGCGCAAGGATGTCCTGGCTTTCCACAAAATGGCCGTGGAGTGCGCTTTTTGAGGATGTTACAGGGAGATAAAAGACCCTCCTGAATTGGATTTCATTGGGGTTGGAAACAATGGTCCAATCCAGCGTGGAAGTGTGGTGCTCACCCAGCCTGAACCCCACATGGGTTCATCAGCTGGAAGTCAGATTTGCCAGGTATCATTGAACAAAACATGGCCGGCCTTCAGTATGCTTTCAATGCTGCATCATTGAAAGCTTTGTTCTTGCAGAGCTTGCATTGTTGAACGCCTGCAGCAAGGTGAGGCGTCGAGCAAAGCACGGCTGCAGGAAGGTGAGGTGTGGAGCAAAGCACGGCCTGCTGCTAGGTTAGACTTCTCTGCAGTGTGCCATGGCATTACCTGTTCCAATTCCTTGAGCAGTGAAGGCGTGGCGCATTCAGTTCGAACGCATTCTGATTTCTGAGGGTGTCATTTCAGGCCAGCGATATGTTTTCAATCCATTCCCCAATGACAGGAAGAGGATGGAGAAAAAAAGCCCGAGATGCACCAGACCTCTTTGAAGCAAAGGCTTCTGGACCATGTCGATCAGGTGGGGCACAAGCATTTCAAGAAATGAACTTAGACACAGTCATAGATTCAATGTTGCATCAAACCATATCAAACTGAACGACAGGTGTCAGCTACTATGAACATTGGCCACTTCATCTACGAGCACCATGGACAACTTGAGGGAAAACGACTACAGTTTGCCAAGGTTCTAGTTGGCGCCCAACAAATATATGGAATCTATGTGTGAATTGCGCACTTAAGATTTTGATGCCTGGTCTCCATTAATTTTGAAGGCTATGGCTGACATCTTCAGTCTTCCAGAAGTGGCAGCACACATCCCCAGAGAAACTGGGCCTGTGCTGAAGAGTGTGCCAGCATCTGCCAGGGCCAACGTCTATGGGTACAGGTCTGAATCTGAAGCCTTGGAACTCAAATTCCATCAAGCTGCTGGGGAGACCATTGACTACTTCTCCATCAAATATACTAATGGTCACTGCAAAGGCATGATGCGCCAGACCATCTTGGCCCTAGTGGTGCACATGGCTACTTGGCTACATGGTGATTCATTGGTTTTGTTTCAAGGATTTAGTAGCCAAAACAATGTTTGTTCACCCAAACTCAGGGTCTATCCCCAGAAGACGTCGCCGCGGATGAAGACTTTTCAAAGCTGCTTGCATCTTTGAAGTATTTGCCCGCGCTCCCCATGATGCTCCTATGAGACCTTGTGCTGCTCAACTTAGTTTCACGCACTTGATACCTATTGTTTTTGATGGCTGAGCTTACCCGACATTGGTTCGGGTGGACCTTAAGCGTTGCCGCGCTTGGACGCAAGACAGTGGAGCTGCCCGTGCAGTCCTTCTGGGCTCCTTTTGGAGTCCGGCCACCCGCGCGGCTGCTAAGGCATGAGGACCAGCAGTGTCCTTTTTGTGAGACTCACGTTGGAATCCTTCATCATGTCATGTGGGGATGCTCGCACTATTCGAGACCTCCTGAACTTGAACATCTAGATATTCACTGACCTTTTGCGTCTTGGTTGGATCGTTCAAGAGGACATCTCGGAGCGGTGTTTGTCACATATGATGCATACCGTCCGGAAAATCTGGGAGCTTCGGTATCTCCGTTAAACTTCCCTTCTTGGTGAAATTCTGCTTTCAGGGTGGGGCGCTCCCGCCTGAACCACTTAGGGTTCTTGGGAGACTTAGGTGACCCGTGCGCGCGCTGATGCTTTTCAGCGGCTCTGCTGGCGGCTGCTTGGGCGGCCGGCTCTTCCTTATGGCGCTCTTCGCTTGCTGGATGCTGCGATGGCGCCTTCCGGAGCTGTTCGCGACACAAGGGCGGCTGCTCAATAACGACTACTACTACTACTACTACTACTACTACTACTACTACTACTTGACATTGCATTGATATACCTTTGCCCCTTCCAATTGAGGCACCGTGCATCGCACAAGCGAGAAGCAGAAACCAGGGCCACTCCTGGGCTTGTTGTTCAAGGAGGTGATCCGTGTGGATGATTTGGCAAGTGTCTTTCCATGTCTTCATATTCACATTTTGCAGTAACTTCATGTCCCCATTTTGTGTCAGGCATGGAGGATCACTGACTCCAGGTCCAGCCAAAAAGGGTTGGCCTCCAACCGATGCGCACATGGGCATGGAAATCAGGAAAAATGCACTTGCATGCATGGGAACACACGAAACCATTTCTTTGGACCTGGCTACACGTCCAAGTCACCATGCATGAGGCCCATAGCGCACTGTGCGGAAAGCAGCCCCACGCAGGTCCTCCTGCAAAGAGGCCCTCGCAACCCTGCGGTCCTGCTGCAAAAGAAAATAATTGCAAAAGCTGTCTCCAATGGAGCGTTTTCATTGCAAAAAGGTTACACTGTTTGTGTTGAAAGTTTTTCCACGTGTCTAAGACCGGCTCAGGTATCTGAAAAAGATGCGCGCTGTATCGCAGAAGCTTTTTGGGACGAGTTTTCTCCATTTTTGAGTACCCTACCTCCAAGTGCAAAATTCATCGTTTCAGCTGCTACTCTGTCAAAGACTGGGCATGAGAACCGGCTGACAGATTCTTGCATTTCCAAGTTTGGTTTGTCTGCTGATGTTGAGACAAGCTTTCTGGGTATTGGTCTGACAGAGGGGTCGCTCTTGGGGGCGATGGGTCCCAATAGCATTGCACTTTGACGAGGAGACTTGGCAACCGATTGTTGGACAGGGCGCCCGCAAACGCAAAGGGTCGTCGGAAGATCCTGGTGTGAACTTTCTTGGGTCTTGCTTGACAACTCGCTTTCTATGGAGTGTTATGCTGGCAAGGGGTTACAATGACAAGAAAACCAAGACCTGGCCTTTGACAAACCTGGAGTTACGCGTTTGTTTTTGGTACCGATTTGCATGAAGGGCGACTGGCCTGCGCTGGTCAAGATTGGAGAATTGACGCGCCACTTTGGTTGCAGGTCTGATTCGATGCCCGGGAACATGTCAGGCAGACATGGCCAACCACAGAGATACCGGCGTCTGGTTGACTGGGGCACCATGGCCGCTATGAAAAAGTCTGCGCCCTTGCCTTGGAGGCAGGAACCAAGTTTGGTTGCTCCTGTGCCGATGAAGGATTGCTACACGCCGTCCTTTTTCGTATTATATTGCACAAGGACTTCATGGGTGACATCGCAGCAAATGCCGTAGCGGCTTGCAGTTCACGTGTAAGGTTGCGCGGCAATATATATATATATATTTTTTGTTGATTTGTTTGTTCGAGAGCTAACTGTTTGAAGACTTTTTAGCATTCGCTAGCTAATGTTTGCCTACCCTGGTGACTTCCAAGCCCAGTGTGATGCTTTGCTCGCTGAGCTCAAGGAGCACTGCTTCTCAAAAGCTACAGCTTCCCCATCTTACTAGGACTAGGACACTGCTTGGGTTCAGCCGTTCGGGCGAATACCCCTCGGCGACACTTTGCTCGTTCTAGGTACACCTTTTATCATATAATTGGACGGTTCGGTTGCTTGCCAAAGTTATTTTGGGGAAACCTGTGTTTGTAAGGTCGCGGTTCACAAAGGAGCGGATACGGTGAGTTGCTACGCTTTCTGAAGCAAGGGCTGCGATCTTCGTTGGGAGAAGTTGCTGGGACTGCCCGTCCTTTCTTTGAGGACATGCTCTCTGCATTTTGTGGCGCAAATAGGTTTATGCAGTGCCTCTACCATTGCGCCTGAAGACACGCGTGTTCCTTTGGACTCAGGTCATGCATGTGTGTGTGTGTGCGTTCCAGCGTTGCGCCAACGCTGCGTACAGCTCCGGCTTGACAAGGTTCAAGTACCCACCCAAATTGCGCATGTTTGGAGAAGTTTTGATTAGATTGGTTTGGAGGCTGAACAGCGACAGAACCGACCGTCGCAAAGCCCCCTGGCATCCTGCATGCAATTAGACAAGGATTTTATCGGCAAGGTCTCGGCCTTCAGTCATACTGTTTCAGTGCGAACTGTCCACGCCAGGACCCCCACAGCCGTTTTAAAATAGCCCTGTTGCAGCACTTGTGACTCCTTGATCAAACCTATATCAAATAGAAAAAAGCACACATGATTATAGTGCTCAGCTAATGCATTCCCACTCACCCACCATGAAGATTTGGACGATGGCGGGCTTTACGACAGTCGCGGCTATGAACAAAACCAGGAGATGGGATGGCTGGCGGGCTGGGACTGTGCTAGGGTGGTGGTCTTAGTGTAAAAAGCAAGGTCGATAATTAACTTCCATGAAGAGCTAAAAACCAGTGGCAGGTTCAGGCACGAATAATCGTACACAGTGTGCTGGTGCATTATTTTGATAGCGCACCTGGTGTTCTAGGTTTTTGTTTTCAGGAATGCATTCGAGCACAAAACCATGAAGCACACAAAAAAACACGAAAGCGACCAAAGAACATGAAAACAAACATAAATCAACTCAAACACATTTTCAGGTACCACTGGGGAGTCTAGGTGTAATTGGAACTCGAAATGCAATGCACCAGGTCAGATTCCACTGAGTGTGCGAGTGCCCTGGCATGGTGAACACCTGGAAGTTTATCAATAAATTCAATAGATGTTTCCTCGTGTGCCTTTTTTGTGCTGGCCTCAAGAAACAAGCCACCCCACCGCCGCCACACAATGCCACACGAGGCCACGAACTGGCACTTATATAATCGCGTAAACCGCGCGGCTCCGTGCGCTCGCCACCGAACTTGCTGAGGTCAAAGGCCGGAAGGAACCGACCGTGGTCTATGAGGCCCGGAGCGACGGACAGGAAGAGCACAGTGTACAGACCCCGGGGTGTGGGAACAAAGGAGGAATGGTGGTTACTTTTGTAGACCCGTTTTGGACAGGCCGTTCGCCAAGGCTTGGACTCTGGACTGTTGTTCGTTTCATGTGAAGGACTTATAAGTATCAATGTGAAACGGTTTCACTCGATGGACTCCGTTCTTCTCTCGGGTGCATCGGGGTGTCATCCACTTCGTGATGTGATCGGCGGATGGGTTTCGTGGTTTTCACCTCGCCTCCGCCAGTTGATGGGTTCCTTGGAGCCAGGCGGGTGGGCGGCCGGGATGTCCGGGAATCCGAGATGGGAGGTTTGCGCGATTTGTTTGCAGAACGGTGAAGGGTGTTGAATTTTTACATCCATGTAGCCATGTACATGTACATCATACGGAAAAAAACAATGGACAGGGTACCGTAATGTATCGTACAACAATGTACGACATACTACGACATGTACTCATGTATTGAATTCATACCACAGGAATCTAGAGGATAATTTTGGTTTGTTTTTTTCCGAGATGCCATTGTGCCATGATATGGACCAAATTGATCCAAAAACGCAAACAAAAACAAAAACACCGCGAGATTTCTGAAAGCTGCCAATTTTAATGTCATTTTTGTTCATTAGCTAGATTTCTCAAACCACCACTTGCCAAGCCCTTCCCAGCCCCTTCCCAAACCAAACCACAGGGTGACCATCCACAGTTTGGGTTTACATAGGATGAACCCACGCAGCGTCACTCGTTTGGACCCCAATCGACGCGCGAGGCTTTGAAAACCTGGATAATTTGCCCACTTCGCATGAGCCGCCGCCTGTAGCGCAAGATACAGATTTGGACGGCTCGCCAGGGGCCACAGTTGGGAGAAAGTGGGGCGGGTGGGGATTTCGCACCCTTGCTCATCGATGGGCGCCAGGTGTACAGGGGTGTACAGGTTTCGATATTGGCACTGGAGAACTGTTGTTTGGCCCAACTTTCTGGGCTATCTTAATTCGTACAAGTGTCACGTTGCACACAGGTGAATGCGTTTCCCTTCCATTCGGGTTCGGAGACGGGACAGGTATGAAACCGAAGATGACATGATCAAGACCTTCAGCAGGTGAGAGCCGGATGTGGGGGTGGATGTTCGGGATGTTGTCCTGTTTTTTCAGCATGTGTGTTCACGTGTCGGTTCAATTCAATATCAATCACATGTTCACTGAATATTGAATCTGTAATATACTAAATATATACACAACTTGCACTATATAACACATGTCTATGAAATGACATTTGTCGTGGTTTCACGCCACTAGACTCCCAAAAGGATGACACAAACAAATGGTGAAAACCACCAAACAACAAATGCACAGACCGACCAAATGTTTGGTCCACAAACTTGTAGGTGAAGCAAGAGTTAAAGGCTACTTGGTTTGGGGTTCACCCTGAAGAAGAGGCCAACTCACTGACGATGTGCTGGCAGGAGCAGCAAAGACACCAAAGGGACGAGGACTACGAGGACTGAAGCTGGGAGCTCGTGTCTTTAGTTTTAGGTTTTGGGATGTGTTTTTTTTGGCTATATAGGCTATATATTATATATACGTGCACAGAAGAAAAGGAAGGAAGGAATCGACAGAATCGAGGGAAGCGAAGGAAACGCCGTGAAACGCCCGTTCCGTCGGATTCCGTCGGATGCGTTTTCGCACCGGTGCGGCAGACCGGTGTCGACCGTCCTTGGGGAGCCTAAGGGTCCAAAAGAACCCTCCAAGCAACGGCCAAGCGGAGCGAATTCTTCGTGCAAATTCGATGTTTGGGTGAACTTCATATTGATGAGAGCCGTCTGAACACTTTGGGGGTTCGCCCAAACACCAAACACATCCCATGTGTTTTTTGTTTTTCGTTTCCCTCCACCACTCAGTCGCCGCTTGGAGGAAGAGCAATGCCTCACGTGTCTCAGAGTGCTTCCTTCAGAAGACTCCCTCCCAGGCAGCACTCGAGGCATTGGAAGAGTCCAGGCACTGCTGGGAGGGTTTCGGGCATTGGGGGCAGTCGGCGCCCACCGACTGGGAAAAGATAGACCTGTTTCAAGCTTCATCATAAAACTATGTAACAAGAAGCTACTAATAGCAGGAAGCTAGTAGGTTGGAGGCCATGGCTAGTAGGTTGAAGGTCATTGTTACTTAGTAACAAGAAGCTACTATAGTTTGGAATGAGTGTCTTCATTCTTTCGGACCCGTGAGTGGATTGAGGACCAATGAGAGATATTTACCTTGTAGCTGGGAACTTGTAAACACGAATTGAAGAGTCTTCGGAAAGAACATAGGACCTGTGAGGTCATCGCCAGCCCAGGCAGAGCCTCAGCAAACTGACGAGTTTCAACTGGACGGAGGCCGGCGTGTGAGGCGGGTTTTTCTCGGGCTGCGGGAGTGGCTGCGGGCGCTGTGAGGTCTACAAGCAGAAGATGGAGGCACACAAAGCAACGCGAAGAAGTCGACAACCCGGTGGTATCAGCAGCTTGGCGTCTTTGCAATAGCAAGTCAGCAAGTCGCTTGGATTTTCTCACCTTTTTGCTGTGGGGGCAGGAGAACCCCGGGTCTTGCCGTGGCTCATGTCACAATGGTGCATGCTTTGGTTGGTGGTACTGACAGATGTTGTTTTGCGGTCATTTATATGTATGCCCTTTTAGGAGGAAATAGGTCCCGGTCCCACATCCTGGTCAATCAGTCTTCTGTTTCGTCCCAGCCGCCCTGGAGTTCCACCTACCGTGCTTGGCACAATCGATGAGGTCCAATTACTATGCTGTAGCTTATCATTGGATTTGTCTTGCAAACGTTATGCCCGACCAGCACATTGCAGTGTTCTTTGTTCTTTTACTTATGAGCTTTGACAGTTGATTCTGCAGGTTTGTTGACCTGTGTCAAGCGTGGAAATCAGAAATCCATGATTAACCATGATCTCCAATCTCCAGTTGGCGGTGGCAATTGCCTATTGCCTCCAGAATTATGCACCAACAAGATCAAACGGTTTGGCTTCCAACAAAAAGGATAGCTGATGGTATTGTTTGGTAAGCTCACGAGGTACCATGAGAAGTGTGTTTTTGTTGCCTGCCCTGCATCGAGCTTTTCCCGAAGCATGGACGAAATGGACGAACGACGCCAACAAAGCTCAAACAAAAGATTCACCCAATTCTTGAGCTAAGGAGGGTCATGTTGGCTTGGTCATTGCTTATGTTTATTTCCCCTGGTGCGTAAATCCTGTCGGACAGACCAGCCCCAGCTATATAACTTGTTCTTGATGGGCCGCAAAATCCATGTCGGCACCCTCAGGCAATCCTTGCTCGCCGATGCCACGGAGCATCACCTCGCGATCGGTCATCAAAAACGTGGGGGGGGCCCAGTGCCCGCTGGGAGTCCGAATCCCTAAAACAGTCCTCGGAGTCTGAATTTGTTTGGGTCTTGGAGCTTGGGAGCTTGGGATGGGAACTGCCTTTGGTATCCTTTGGTCGTATCCACCAGGTTCACCTGAAGTGCCAATGTGTTCTTCGACCACGCATGTGCGCGCGTTTGGTCCGAGGTCACCTTGGTCGAACACCGAAGGTATAACTTTGACACTTTGACACATCGTTTGCAATGATTCGGGGAAGGAACCTGTAGAATTGAGACACCCCAAACAAGACTTCCTCAGACAGGCAATTAAGATATCAATTTGTGATCTTCTTGAGGCCAATTGGTGATCTTCATGGGCTGCACGCGGAGAACATGCGCATGTCATATCCAAAATCCACGTACAAAGCAGCCAAGCAGAGGCCGTGGTGCCTCAGGGTGATGTGTTTCCAAGCCAACCTTCCCCCAAGTGAGGGTGTTACCAAGCCAGTTACCTCAGCCTAGCCCAGCCACCACCAGCAATTCGACGTGACTCAGTTCACCTCTTTGGATCCTCCTGACAATGACAAGCTCCTCGAGCTCTCAAGGCCGCTGGGGCCGTTTGGGCGTTTGGGCAGCGGCCGGGCAGGGCAGAGTCTTCATGAAAACGGTATACCGGGCAGGACATTCGATGCGGATCACCTTGATGACCATTTTGGCCTAGTCACTTTTGGTCTCTATTTTTGAGTCAAAGCCTATCTCATTCTTTTTGAATATAAGAGCAAGTTGGTTTGAAATGGGTGTTCGAGTTTGGGGCCGCAATGTTGCTTTTCGGGTGCATGCCATCCCTGTCTTTCTTCTGAAGACGTTTGGAGCTATATATGCATAGGAATACCCTTTGTGGGGTCGGCCTAGTTGACGATGTTATGAATCACGTCCATTTGTCGATTTCATTATTGCTATTTCAAGTCCATGACCATGTCCCGGCCAGAAGTTGTGCTTGTCTGCAGGCGCTACGAGGAGTGTTTGGAACTCTGTCAGGTGCCGCCTGCAGCTGGTGTTGGCATATCTGAATTTGCCAAGGAGATTCCAGGGGTGCCCCTTCCTGCGTTTGACTTGAAATGGGAACGGTGAAACGTTGTAAAGGTATGCTCTGACTCACTAACATTTTTGTTGTGCGGGGTTTCCATATTTTTGGGGGGCAGGCAATCTGGAGAATGAAGGATCAATTATGGCTCATACCCTGCAAATTCTTTTTGGGGACTTGTTTGTCTCAATGAAATCCAACAGGTGGAAAAGGTCAAGCTTTATCTTCCAGCAAAACTGAGGTCAGGGTCTATTTATTGTTGAGCTTCGCACACTGGTGAGGCCATAAGGCTTAGATTATGTTGTGTGTGCGCATGTCAATGTGCGTGAAGAATACCATTCTTACGAAAGGTAGCAGCTAGCCGGTAGGCTTTGCTGAATATGTGAAGCTAGTTTCTGCGAACAACGTGAGCTGCCCAGGGTGAGGGTGCAGGCAAAACTGAGCAAAGCCCAGGAAACCTGATTGTGTTTAAATACTTTGTGTTCAGTCAATTTTGGGCTTACGTTGGTGATGCATCACATGCGAGTCTCAACTGTTGCGGCATCAGGCGGTTGCTGTAGGGGTACTAGGTCTAAGAACAAACTCAAATGAAACATACTTCCCGCACAGCTCACTGGTGTACCAACCCCGTGCTAAGGATTTAGTTTATGCTAAGTGTTTTGCATGCATAACATTCCCCACAATGTCTTGCACGCTGCACAAATATCTAAAGAGTTCCTTTCCAAGCAAGTTGCCCTGTGTGTTACAGAGCCTGGTTGAATCGAGGGTGGAATATCGCCACGAATTTCCCGGTTTGCAGCATTTTCTGCAATGTCCGGGGCAGAGGCACTTCTGAAAAACGTGCAGTTCAACATGGAACAATAATGTGTGAACAAGCGACATTTTTGAACAAAGCCAAGTCTGGTTAAATTAAGGGCTATGACCCGAGAAATCTATCTGACAATTGAATCGTCCGAGCTGTTGCTTTCAGAGGTGGTGCTATTTACCGTCTTTGTCTACAGTCTTTGCGCTAGAGTCCGCAAATAGCACGTGTTTAGATTCATAGGGAGCTATACACAACGGGGCGACATGACCTCACCATGGAAATTCCACACCGGGATGCCCTCAGTGTCTTGCATCCCTGGTCAATAGAACCCAGAGGCACCTTGAAGTTTTGTCGGGATCACGCTTTTTGCGACTCCTCACGACAGCGACAGGCCGGCCTGTTGCAAGAGGCCGCTGAGCTCATCGAGGTGCCACCAATGAGCTTTCCGAAATCAGGGAGATGTCATCTGTCCTAGAGTCTTGGGGCTTGGTTTCCCTATTAATATCTATTAATTAAATGGCACCGCATGGAAGAAAACCTGGTTTTGATCTAAATAAGACTGCTTTCCTTCGAGTGATCCCCACCATGACATTTCAATCTGACAAATTTTCTGGGATGTATCGAACCCATAGTTTGGCATTCTTTCTAGCATCTTCTGACATTCATTCTGGCATATCTTCTGACATGCTTTCTGGCTTATCTCCTGACAGTCTTTCTGCCATGGCATATCTTCTGACATTCTTTCTGGCGTATCTTCTGACATTCTTTCTGGCATATCTTCTGACATTCTTTCTGGCATATCTTCTGCCACTCTGGCATATCTTCTGACATTCTTTCTTCTGACACTCTTCACTCACTAACAGCCGAAGCTCGCGGTTGAGGTCCGGCGGGCGAACACTGCCGTCCAGAGCTGGCGGTTGAGGTCCGGCGGGAACACTTCCATCCGGAGCTCATGGTTGAGGTCTGGCGGGGAACACTGCCGTCCGGAGCCGGAGCTGGTGGTTGAGGTCAGGCGGGGAACACTGCCGTCCGGAGCTGGCGGTTGAGGTGCGGCGGGGAACACTGCCGTCCGGAGCTGCGGTTGAGGTGCGGCGGAGAACGCTTCGTGACGGTTGAGATCTGGCGGGGAATACTGCCCTCCGGAGCTGGCGGTTGAGGTCCGGCGGGGAACACTGCCATCTGGAGCGTCGTGACGGTTGAGGTCCGGCGGGGACACTGTTGTCCGGAGCTGGCGGTTGACGGGGAACACTGCCATCCTACACTTGTGGTTGAGGTCTGGCAGGGAACTGCCATCCTACTCTTGCGGCTCAGGTCCGGCAGAGAACACTGAGACTGCCATCCTGCCCCTGCTCATCTTGATGGTCTCGACAGGGAAGTCCAAGGAGCGCAGGTGGTCAAGGAACCGGCGAAAGGGTCCATAGCCGGACAAGAAGGCGCTGGCGCCGGGATCCAACATCACACACTCTGGCCGTTCAGCTCCGGTGGAGTCCTGGAAGATGAGTAGTGCACTCTCTTCAACTGTCGAGGTCATAGCCACTGCTTCAGTGGTAGATGCAGGGCGCTTGACCGCTGGTGATCTGGCTGAAGGGCTCGTGGACGATTGAGGGCAGTTTGCAGCCCAGTGACCCACCTGACCACAGCGAAGACAGGTCATGTTGGCCTTCGCACGTCCCTTGGGGTCAGATTTTCCAGCTCCTTGTGGTGGGTAGCGAATGAGGCCGAGGAGAGGAGAGAAGAGAGGAGAGGAGAGGAGAGGAGAGGAGGGGAGAGGAGGAGGAGGAGGAGAAGCACGGCAGCTTACATAAAATCTAACGACCCTCACCTGACAGGTGGGGAGTAAAGCCATGGCGTGACAAGTGAAGGTCCAAGTGGTGATGCCGGTGATGGCAGGATTCAACACGATGTACCCCCCAAACAAAAGCTGGAGCAGGTGATGAAATCGCGAAGACAATCTCCCAACATAGAACCTATTTGACCGATGTCTTGATAGGAAAATACTATTGGCTCCAAAACAGGGGACGCTCAGGTTCCAGGTGTATGTTGTTAGGCTTCATTTAACCTCCCAAGTCTCACTGCGTCATTAAACATGCGTGACCAATAACTTGATTGACTCCTTGCTCGCCACGTGTATGTCGTAGTCTCGTCACGTCGTAAGGGTGTTTTTCCAGCAGAAAATAGTTCAAATAGATGCACTGGAGATGTCTTCATATCTCCTCAGCCTAGGTCCTTGGACATGCGAGGACTCGAGGAAACCAGCATTGATTACCCTGGATTGTTGATTGTCCTTGTTCTGTTCTCTATGGATATCCGATGACTGACTCACTGGCACACACACACACACAGAGACCCCTTCCATGTGCGTTTTTGGCTGCAACATGTGCAGTTCCACCGGTCCAGTGCGCTCCGACTGCCAGATGCTGCTGGTGGACTTCCCACAAGATAAACCGACGATCATGCTGCAAGAGAAGTTCCTATGTGATCAGGCCCAATTTGGGCAGTGCGTGACCTCACAGGATTTTAGGTTTCGACACGAATCAGTAAAACAACAGTAAAACAATGTAAAACATGTTGATGCGGTTCATGCTTGATGGACGGTCCCTTTTCTTCGTGATTCAAAGCCGTTGGTCTAAACTGCAGGGAGCGCCGGATAAGAGAAGTTGCCCCATGTATTCCGACCTGAAAGGACCTGAATCGTTCTATTTTGTGGGAGAAGGTCCGACGATTGGGTCTTTCTCTCACAAGGATCCTGTGAATCTGTCTTGTGACAATTCACACTGAAAACTACGAATTGTCCCTACCAAGAGGGAGCCACAAATGCGCGTGTTTTTGGGGAGGGCACTCGTCAAATGCAATACTGATCGACAGTACATGCTGGCACGGGGCAGTTTTGAGTTTGTCAATTCTTACACTAGTCAGTCATGGTCTTTTGTAGCTGTTAAGTACAATTGGAACCGTTGTTTCTTAATGACTTAATGAAGTGGTTTTCCTCCACCTAAACGTGATTCAGCAGACCGAATGACAATGACTAGGCAGGAGCTCGTTGGCAAAAGCTCTTTGTACTGAGTAGTGGGTATGGAGTCAAAGATGTTTTAGCTCAATGAGTTCCTTTGTGTTCTTTTGCCCAACTTGGTACGGAAAGGCGATGAAGGACCTGATCACACAGGTCTGTCCGTGAGTCTAGATAGTTCCTATCCCCCCCGCCAGTTGTTGCCAGGGTGGAGGGGAGAAAGAGAAAAATCGCGCCAGGAAAACTTGATATAGATCCCCAGCAATCAGAGCGCAACATCAAAGTCTATTCTGTCCAGCAATTCGTTCCTTCCCCTTTTTTCACCATTTGAGCCACAACCAACGGCTTGGATTTGTGGTGCTCAGAGATTCTACTGTGAAGCATTTGAACCAACAGCTTCTGACCGCGCGCTCCACCGGAGCTGTCCGCAGGCAGAGCCCAGCAACATGAAGGACTTCTCGCCGATTTCGATTCCACGAAGCGAACGTCGCCGGTTTTGGGAGGAACCTGAAAGAAAAGACTGCTTGGCCACGGCTAGAAACCATGTAGACATGGACACCATTCCGTGGACATATGGTCACATGTTTTTCGGGTGGGTGGTATAGGGACATGTGGGTCACTCTCTATACATGACTGTTCAACCTCTCGGTTTCTATTTTCAGTTCGTGAAACCAGCGTTTTCACGCCTTTGCCATTTTGGCGAGAAGCTGTGGCCAGGTCAAAATAACGGCAAGCCTTTTCAGGTAGGGCCTGCGCCATGGCTTGGAATGGTGGTGAGGCAGTTTGCCGGAAGCCAAAGGCTAAGCCACCCGCAGCCTTGAGGAGGCAGGTGTTCAATGATTGAACCTCTGGGCGAATGGATGAGACCTCATCCAACAGTTCGTGGACACGGGCGGACGATTTGAGAAGAATTGCGCCTCAGCTGTTCGCGTTAGCTCAGGATGGTGCTCCACAGTTCCACCACCAGCTCCTCCTGCTCACTCAGCATCAAGCCAATCGGCAGCTCCTGTGCTCCAAGCTGCTCAGAGCTTCTTGGACGCGGTCGCAGAGCCTTTCGGTGGGGCAATATGACGCCTCCAGATCTGAGGCAAACCCCCCTCAACCCTGCACTGCCTGAGCACTTATCAGTTCTGAAGTGCAGAGATGCCTGGCTGGCCTGAAGGATTTTGCATAAAAGGGCAAGCAGCTCAAAGTAGAAAAAGCCACAGACTTGCTCATTGAAGCAGCTTTGGCCATCAAAAGGTCCAAGACATCAAAGTGGGTCATACCAGGGCCTTGCCTAAAGGCTAAAGGGCTCTTTGGCCACATGGCTTCTTTAGTGCAAAAGGGCTTCTTGACAGCAAAGACTTTTTGCACAGCATGTAGCAGCTGGAGCAGCTAGTCACGTCCTTGGTGGGGCCTGCCCATGGGCTCTTGGGAATCCCATCTGCTGCTGCACCCTGCCAAGAAAAGGCCCTAGCCATTTGGGTCTTGTGAAGAGGCCTTTGGTGTAGGAACATGAGAAAATGGCACAGGTCTAAGCATGAAGAGTTTGAGCAGGTGGAGGAAAGGGAGATGTCTCCATTGGGCATGTGCCTTTTGCAAACACTTTGCAAATGGTCTGTCTGCGCTTTGCATGCATGTGTTTGGGTGTGTTTGCCTGCTTCTGCATGTTTGGGCCCATCAGCCCAAGTCAGGGATTGCCCCACCGGATGTGCAAGAAATAGCATCTATGGGGGCCTATGGTCACAGTGCCAACCACATATCAGCGCAGCTGATGTCAACATATTGCAAAGAATTGTGGCTTGACATGTGAAGCATTGGACACTCTGCCCCACTTGTATCTGCCGTGTAGCTTTAAACTGTGGAACCCTTGTCCTTGCCTGCCACTGGGCCTGCATGAGGACGCAGGAGCTTTTCAGAAAAGTGATGCCATGCACATATTGAGTTTCAGAAGCCTACTGAGCAGTCTCAATGTTGCATGGTGGCGTTGCCCAAAGGGTGTTTAAACAATGGCACTAAAAAGGAGGTCTGAGAGTTTATGAGATGGAGTTTCAATCCAGTCTTCTCATGCAAGTTTCCTGATCTTGACCACAGAAGGCAGCCTTGGGCACCAGGATCTTGGAGCTCCAGGATGGCTGGGCAACTCTGGGGTACCTAGAGTTTGGGTTGAATGGTGGCAGCATGGAGCAATGTTGCTTCAACTGTGGAGCCAACAAGAGCGCAGTACCATTCGGAATGCCCTGTCGAAAGAAACAGTGATCCATCACTCTGGTACCTGTCCAACAGAACATGAGATCTCTCACATACCTGGAGTTGGTGGAGAAACCGTCAAGTATGATCTCTTACATGTGATAGAAGAGGGAGTTGCTGAGAACAACGTTGCGGCAAACATTTGCTTTGACCTACTGGTTCGCACAGGAACTTTGGAGGGTAATCCATCCTGAGAAGAGGCTTCAGACAATCACTGCAATATATTGAGCAAGGTGCTGAGGCTTCAAACAAAATCAGAAGACATCAGAAGACTGACATTATCAACGTTCTGCAATGCTCACACGACTGGTGACAGGTCGGATGGAAGACAGTTTGTGCTGTGTGGCCCAGAACGCTCCTTCGTGACCGCAGGGTGTTAGGCTGTGTCTTGATGGGGGGGCCTGGGTTCGGTGGAGCGAATCCCTGAATTTTTGTTCTGTGTGTGACATGTGTGTGTTCAACCTGGTTCCTGAGTAGGGCTCGTGGAGAGAACCTAGTGAAGAGGCTTTCCCTGCTGTGAAACCTTTGGGTGTTCGCTCCTCTCTCACCTTTGTCAGATAGGTCAATCGGGGGCTATGACCCCATGCCCATGGCTACCCGGTAGAAAAAACTGTCCTGCTACCATGGAGCCATGGAGTCAACTATATCGATTGAGGGTTGAACAAGCCTCCAACTGGATCAGCAGTCATGCTGTGAGTATCCAAGACTACTGTTTCCATTGCTGACTAAATTCCTTGGTACCCTTTAGCCTTTTGGAGTTGAGTCACACAAACCGCAGAACTGGAAACGTTTGTTCCACCGTGCCGGAGAGTTTCCGGCTGCTTTGTTTCAGAGAATTGGATTTTGTTTGCTCCAGGGGCCCATTAATATGATAACAGTGCCTTGGAAGAAGATTGCTCAGAGACTGTCCGATTTTGGGGGAGGATGCTGCCTGTCACGTCATGGGCGGTGGTTTTTCAACATGAATTAGGGGTTGGCAGGAGACGTGAATCAAACCAGGTGGAGACACCTCAATGTTCGACTTCGAAGATATGCAGGAACAAAGATACTAGTATTGTCCTTGCTACTACTGTAGTAGCGATGCACTTAGCGATGCACTTGTTACATCTTGCATCGTTTTGGGTTCACGTATTTGTTGATGCATCCGATGGGCTGCGTCATTCTGTTTCGTTGGTTTGTCCGGTTTGTCCGCCTTTCTCGAGGATGTCGTATATGTGCTTCGACCACCTCAACAGCAGCGATCCGGTGATATCCGGTGATGTTTGGTATTTTGTTGTCCCAATTGTAGGTTTGGTTTGCCCAGTAGCTGCAGTATATGGTGCAGTAGTTCATGCAGTTTTCTCCAAACCCAAGCAATGTTGATGGCATTATATATTCATTATTCGATCAATTTTTTGAGTTTTTTTTGTACTTAATCGAAGCAGGATTTTGAATGCAAACATGTGTCATTGGTCGGCCACTGGCACGAAGGCACAGACTGCCCTGTCGGCCACCGTCGTTTCACTGACGAAAACGCCGAAGAATCGAAACGGTCGACCGGTCAAACGGGTCGACCGGTGTGGCGGCATGGAGTGCGGTCCTCGCTGAGGTCATGAATGAAAAAAATTGACGTTGCGGACAGCAAGGCTAAGTGTTGTGAGATGCTGTGAGCGTCCTTTTGAGGCATTGCCTTCCCTGAGTTTGAAACTATAGAACTAAGAAAGTAACATGTAGTAATTATTATAATAATTATACCTAGACCCCACAAAAGACGTCACGTTTGTTTTCCGGTGGGGGCCATTTTCAGGCCAAATTCAAAAACCAACACAACAAAGAATTTTGGTGTCGATTGTTCTTACTTTTGCGCGTTGTGTTTTGTCATGTTTACCTATCGCGAACTTGCATTTTTCTGCGTCATGTTTTCCGACGAGACGGAAAAACACCTGTTTTTAGGGGAAAGGTATATGTATAAATAAATGTATATTATATAATACAGGACAATATGTATATATACTATATATATATTATTCCGGGAGTCGGGAAGGTTGAAGACGACTGTAGAGATTGTTTTACTTCTATTTGGGGTGCACGGACCATCACAGAACCAGCAAGGGGTCTTGCGCACAAAGAAATGCATGCTGATACATAGTGATATCACTGCGAACAAAGATCATGATGAAATGTTAGGGCCTCATTGGTTGATTCAGGTTGCAAACAAGAGCAAGAGTCAGAGGGTCAAGAGAAAGCTTTGGCGGAGTCAACCCAAATAAGGGCTGCACTAGGTGCGTGGGGATCTTCGATCCCAGCTGCCACATGCCCTCCAAAATGGATCTCAAGAGAGTTTCACATCCAGTGGTCACACCTAGAGTGGAGTAATTAGCTTCAACCTTGACAGGTGACTTGATACAGCTCCATCTCCCGCCAAAAATGATAATCTTCAAGTGTTTGCGAATTTGTGTGGCCGCTCCCGGACCCTCTCATACCAGCATTGTATGGGTCCCTACATGCCAGAGATGGGCGGGTTTTCCCCCACGGAGGAGTTCCAAACAACAGAGTCCTGCTTTTTTCCCCGGCTCACCCCCAGCGGAGGTGCCGACAAGGCCGGCTGGACGCTTACGTGTTTTATTTTGTGCTGGAAAGTTCCAGAGGACACACGTCTTTTGCAGGGAGAATTCTGAGATAATTTTCAGGTTTAGTCATGTGAGATACCTGGATATGTGGATATGGCGAAAAGTCCTGGGCAAGACTTGCTCTTGAAGTTGCCCTCTTGAAGTTGTCCAGCAAATAGCATTTTCAACCAATTCGACCATACCCTGCAGAGTGCAGGCGGCATGGACAAATCTCAAACTAATTGAGGTTTGGGCAGTTGGTTATGCTGATTTGACGATCAGCATTCCCGTGCATTCACCAAACTGCGGAAAGACAAAAAGAGGGCTTTTGGATGGCTGGTGCTGTTGGCGCGGGAAGGGGTGTGGATGCTCAAAGACTGTCAAGGACGATAGATATTGGATATCGATAGATTCCTCAGATGTTTGCGTGCTTTCAGGAAAAGGATAGAATCCGAGGTAAGAGAGGAATTGAAGCATCTTCGATTACGTAATGTTTGAGAATTGGTTGGCCAACGGAATGTCCGAATCGTCCAACACGACACGAATCTTCCGGTTGCAATCGTGTCAAGCAGAATTTTGCCTAGGAAACTTGGCATTGGAAGGATCAAATTGACACAAGTTGATCGAATTCCACGCTCATTGGTGGGTTTCAGGGGCGTCATGAGCGTGGATGATCGAGATCCGAACGAACCTGAATGATGTTGTGCGATTTGGGAGGCTCAGTTGGCTCAAGAACATCACTCGCAGCCGGCGTTTCAGGGTTTTAAGATAATCTCTTGATGTTCAATACTTGATATCTCCTACCCAGACAGTGGATAACCTGCAAACCCTTCTTTTGGAACTTGCTTTTCCCACTCAAAACCAATAGGTGGAACGTTCGAAAACATGCCAGTTCTTTCCGATCAAAACCACTCCGGGGATCAGGGTCTATTCATCAATGTTCCCACAGTGATGCTTTCTGGCACAGAGTGACACCATCCAGTTAGCCCTCGCTGTGTTTGTTTCCACTACTTGAGGGTCAAAACCCTCCAACTTACATTCATGGCATGGTGGATATGGCGCCCAAGAATACATGACCCTCACCCTTCTGAACGACTGTCGCTCGCACGATGGCCCTCTGAAAGAGGGTGGCGACTTCCGAGGTCCCTCTTGGGCGAAACGGAGAGGAGGATGATCCAAGGTCCGATGAAGGGGATGGGAGAGATCCACGGCCACAGTCGCTTAGGGTTAATCTAAGATACCCTAATAACATCTAATAACTATATATTTCTATATCCGCGTGAAGCAGATTCTTTTCTTTTTATTGTACCTGTATTTGTCTTAGGTCCTTGGAATGTTCTTTATATAATTATGGTTATTTCGAGGAAACCTAGTTCTTGGGGCAGGCGGCGGACATTTCTGTAGTGTGGGACTTTGGGGTCTTGGAGAGAAGTGGAGGAATCACCAACAGTGACGCTATCATCAAAAGCGAAGCAGCACAACGCTTTGCAAACAGAATGTTGCATTTTCTCAGTTAAAACCACGAACAAAAATAAGGATATTGGCTGAAATGAATTGAGTTTTACGAAACGATGGTAGTAGTTCCACATACTCAGGTGTCAGATAGACATCTACATACTCAGGTGTCAGATAGATATAGTAGACAGAGAAACGTATAGTATGGTATCATATGTTTTTGGTGACACGGATTCTCACAACCGTGGAGGCGTTCACATGTTTGTTGTTTCTTGTACATGTATACGACATGTCTAAGTAGTTGGGGTGGGGTGGGGTGGGGCATGTTAACGTTCATGTGCACTTGCGTGGGATGTTGATGCTATGGGTTATGTTAACGTTCATGTTAACTGGGGTTGGCATAAACACAAGAGGCGGTGCACATGCCCACATATGCTTTGTATGATGGTCAAATTGTTCTCACATTGAACAGGACGCTTTTTTCTTGGCGACCAGAGGTTTCATTTTCAGTTCATGACATCTTTTGAGTTGGTCGACCGGCAAATACCTGTTGATACCAACTTTGGGCAAGCCGGATGCATGGTGCAAGTTTGGCACTTCTTTGGAAAACACTCTTTCTTTTCCCATGTTCCCGTTTCCCGACTTGTCGTTTGCATAACGGAGAACCGGTATGTCGTTACAAAGCAATGAAAAAGAACATCCATCTCTATGGATCTCGGTTCGTTGCAGACCATGTTCAGAGTTCCTGGACCGTCCCGGACCGTCCCGGAACCGTTCTGCGTCCCGGACATGTCACACATCGATCCACGATCTAGGTATAGTTTCCGCTGTGCCACTGGAACCGGAAGCCTCAGCTGACTGACCGAAAGCCTCGGCGAGTAAAAAGCCGAGTGCTGCGGGGCACTGAAGTTGTCACCTTGAATGCAAAGTGTTGATGTTGGGGAGCCACCTTTGTTGGGTCTTTGCACTCAAGACTCAAGAGAGCACCCTGCCCCCGATAACATATGGGATCCCATGACTTTTCCAGTACTCAAGTAGCAGAGTCTTCCTGTGATTGTTTTAATGAATGATTCGCCTGCACCCTCCGTTGGGTCAAAAGCACTCGTTCGCTTCTTTGCATCCTCTGCCCTGCGACGAGGCTGGCAAACGTCGCCATTTAGATTGAAACGTAGTCATTGCCAAACCATGACTTTGCATCGAACACATGGAACTGCAAGAAGTGCTTCAAGGCAGGACTAGTGGCCAATCGATCGAAAGCAGCCTGTGATTGAGAAAGGCAGAGAAAGGCATACGGCATACCTATAAGATAACATATGTATGGATATATATACAGTATATGTACTATATATACTCCGTTGACCCCCACGACAGTTAGTCGGAGCCATCCGAAATTCGACAGGGCTGCTGCTTCCTTCTTCGCCGAATCTGGCCCCGTTTCCGTTTTTCACCTGTAAGAGCCAAGAGTTAAACATGGTTTGGAGATCCTGTTTGAAGCGAACGAAGATCGATGTTCAATACCGATCGCCGGTCGAATCCAACGGCCAATTCACATCTTGCCGCCATGTGTCCAGCAGCGGTTCCTCAAACAGATGAGAAGCTCTGCTTGAAAAGCCTTGGAGAATCTCTTCGATGAGAAGGGTCAACTCAAGGCCGGGCAGAGGAGAAGCACATCCGCCGGATATGAAATTACACCCCGAATCTCGGGGGTCAGAGAGGCAGCTAGTGACCGAGAAGCATCTCCATGTGACACCTAGCGGAACTGCTTGAGAAACCATCAGCGAGCAAGACAAAGAGAGAGAGAGAGAGAGAGAGAGAGACAGATAGAGAGCGAGAGAGGGAGAGGCAAAAAGATCTTAAGTTAAGAATTGACAACAAATAAAACGAGCCAAATAGTATAAAGAATAGTATAATATATATATATATTAAATAGAGACTATGAACATCTCAAGAAATCTTAACAATATACTTACTACCGGCTTCCCACATGTTTCCTGCTCCAACACCGGATCTGGGCCAAGCTGGGCCAAGCACGAAAAAACTCACCCGACTCCCAGTGGTTCAAGCGTTTGGTCAAACGCTTCTTGCTACTATAGTAACAAGTGCATCGCTGCACTAGCAACAAGGGTATTACTAGTAGTAGCAAATAGCTACTAGGTGGGAGGCCATCGCCACTAGGGTGGAGGCCATCACCACTAGGGTGGAGGACATTGCTAGTAGGTTGGAGGCCATTACTACTATACTAGTAGCAAATAGCTACTAGTAGCAAGAGAAGTGTTTGGGCACCCCGCTCCAGTGAGTGGATGTCACACAAGAAATCCTTTTTCGACGCACCTCCATGTGTTTGGCACCTAACTCCATGGAACTGCTCGTGGTTTCCATGTCGGGGGTCACCCTTTGCAGAGCCAAAACCATTCCTTCTCCCCTCACTCCGACATGGGAGTCAAAACCATTCCGACATGGAACTGGTGCCCACTCACGTGGTGCCGACTTGGGATCTCGCCCGGTTTCGCCCACAGGTGGACCGGACCGCGCCCGGCTCGCGCGGCGAGTCACCGGGAGCGCTTGGTGCGATCGACCTTGAAGGCGGACGATGTGGGACGACAGGTGATGCAAAAGGGCGTAGTTTTTCTGCAGAACACTTTGAGGCCCGCGCGAGATCTCAAAGGTAAAACAAAGAAGCAAATCGCGAGTGCGAGGATCACGGAGAGTTTGGTAGGGACACGGGGCACCTACGAATATGTTCCCAGTTTGATTCGATGGAGTTTTTCAGGTGTCAGCATAGAGTTCCAAACTGGCATTGACAAGGAGAAACCAAACACGAAAAGGAGAGGAAGGAATGAACGAACCACAGAAACCACTAAGTCGACCAAAGTTGAAGTCGGTCAAGGTGCTAGCGTGCTTGAAAGGGTGTACCTTGATTCCCTTTGAAGGGCGCTGTTCTTGTTTGCAGTTGTTTTGTATCACGGTTTTTCTTTGGGTCGTTTTTTCTTGTGGTGATGTGGTTTCATGATGAAGATTTCATAGGAGTTCTTGTTTGATATCTTTATAATTCTTTATATATATAACTGTTTGTATAATGCGAATATCCTGTACATAGTATTCAGATTACTTGAGGAACAAGAACGCCTTGAAGGACCTACCAACTGTGAATGTCCACCATTCGGATACCATTGAGCTTCACTCACAGTCAATCCTTCCAGTCCCTCTTACCTTTTGTGTCCAGGATGGTCCCAGGTACTTGGAATCTCATGTACCTGGTGTGAATACGCCAGGAACCGAAGCAACGAGTGTGGGGTGTCAGGCTGCCTGGAGCAAGTTCGGTCTCGAGGAGGACCCCGAGATCACCGAGTGCCTTCCGGTGACGAAAGGGCGAGGTGACGGTGCGAAACGGTATGACAAGAAAGTGTGAAACCCCAAGTTAGTCATTTGTTTGGTTAGATAAAAATACCTCACTATAGAGATACTGTGAAAAAAAAAACTATAAACACAAAACAGTCCTTTACTTCGAAAAATCCCCACCATGGCAGGTCAAGGCATATCCACCATGCAGGGGTACGTAATTTGTTTCGTCTGCAACATCGCAAAGCAAGTCTGTCTCATTGCCCGCAGCTTGCCACCTGGCAGATCACTGACTTGAATCAGTACTCAAATGTGGCCAGCAGAAATGATGGAAAAGAAACATGCCAAAACATGTCAGAATACCACCGAATCAGTCATCAAATGTGGCGAGCAGTGATGAAGACAAACATGCCAAAACATGTCAGGCTACCACCTGGATCAGTCATCAAATTTGGCGAGCAGTGACGAAAACAAACATGCCCAAACATGTCAGAACACCACCTGAATCTGCGGCGAACAGTAATGGAAACAAACATGCCAAAACATGTGGATCTATATATATATATATATGGTGATGTTGATTGTGATCATTCAAGTTCACAACGCCTGCCTTTTCACGATTTCATCAACCACACAGGACGAAGATGTGGAGTCCCAAAAGGACTCAAAGTGACGAACATCAGCGCTGTATCGCAGAGTTTCGCAAAGCCACTGCCAGCTTTTCGACTCGAAGAAACTGGGCTGTATGCACACCTGGTGCGCATCAGCCCCAAAGACAGACCTGCAAAGACACGGAGCACAAGTCACTTGGTCACTGTAGTATACCTGGGCCCCCCCTTGCGACCTCAGACAGTTGCTGCGACTTTAATGGGTTCTGGTGATTATTCCGCTTCACCTTTTCATACTCTACGATCTCAGACAATTGCACTGAAATCAAATCCACAAATATCCGCAATGCCACTTGACAACGCCAAGCTTTGCACGCTCCCCTGGCAAACAACACAAGCGACTCCTCACTGGCCTCCGGTAAGCGAGATGCATACATTTTAATGCGCACATCCGTGCCAAGCAGAAGCTGCGCAATTTTCACAGTGTCATCCCAGCTTGTGACAGCAAAAGGCCACGAATGCTTCACCATGTTTGCACCCACTTGGACCGGCCCGGACACAACCGGTAAAGTTCTAAACAGCACTGCCTACATCCGCATTCTTTGACTGTGTCATTGACTTCATGTGTTTTTGACAAAGCATGCTGGCTGCACCTGCTTGGACCGACCCAGGCAAAACCGGTCCTACACAGCAGTGCCTACAACCCTCATGCTCTGACTTTGTCATGCTGACTTCATGTTTCTCTGACAAAGCAGCTCCAGATTGAAGACATCATTGCTGAAGAATAGCTACCTCTCCGAGTGATGAAGACATCATGCCTTCCAGCCACGCTACCTCTCCAAAGCCAGCTATGTATGCTATGTTCTGACTTCCACTCCGACTCCCTCCACTCGCAGCCAGGCACCAGCCTTCACCCCTGCCGAAGCCCAGCGGCCATGTTTCATGACCTCTCAGCGGCTCAAGTAAGACCTGTCGCCGTCAACTCTCTCATATCAGTGTCCAAAACATTTACACCTGGTTCAACATCAAACCAAATTTGGTTGCCCACACTGCCCAGCCTCTGCAAACGGGCCAGGACACCAACACAAAATGAGCTGCCGCTATGTGGTCAAACGTGTGTTTTCAACAAATGTGTTCGAGATTTCCAAAAGACTAGCAAGGTCATCACCGATCTGGCCCCTAGCCGATCTAACCGCCTCACTATGCTCACAACCTGCTTCCTATACATACAAGCAGCTTGTTTTGCAAACCTCAAACATCATATATTGGCAAAAAGACTTCCTCGAGAAAATCACTGCAGGAATCTCAGAACTATCGTGAAACAATCACTGCACGAATCTCGGAACTATCACGCAGCCTTAAATAATGTTACACATATGTTCCACTCTAGTGGAAAAGCAAGAAGAGGTGCACATGACAAGACACAGATTAAGCAGAACCATTTTTTGTGACATTCTATACTGTTTGACATAAATTCTGATCTGGCACTGCGATCTGGCACTTGCTGTTGAGATCCGGCAGTGCCCACTTTGATCTGGCGCTTGCTGTTGAGGTCCGGTATTGCCCACTGCGATCTGGCCCTTGCTGTTGAGGTCCGGCAGTGCCCACTGCGTTCTGGCGCTTGCAGTTGAGGTCCGGCGCCCACTGCGATCTGGCGCTTGCTGTTGAGGTCCGGCACTGCCCACTGCGATTTTGCACATGCAGTTAGGGTGTAGCCGACTCCGAACTGGAGCTGGCATGGAGGCGAAGAGGGGACGAGGAGGGGAGGAGAGGAGAAGAGAGGAGAGGAGAGGAGCGGAGCGGAGTGGAGTGGAGTGGAGGGGAGTGGAGCTTGATAAAATCTAACAACCTTCACCTGGCAGGTGGGTAATTAAGCTTTGTTAACAACCTCTCCACTGGCTCTCTATGTGTTTGCATATTTTTCTCCGGGCTTCTGGTGGACCATGCAGATTGATGACTGACATGTGGGTTTGCAGTTTTCCAGGTACATGGTTGGCGTCGCATGCACGCTGATTGCAGAGGCCTGTGACACGGTAAATTCGCGACACTCGCGCCATTTTTTGGCCTTTTCGGCCATCGGAGCCTCTTTGCAACGGATCTTTTGACTTTCATGGAGGATTCATTTAGTAAACTTAAACATCAACATCCTATAGTGAACTGCAACGCTGAAGCAGCATTCTCAGCGATTCTGAGTGTTTGAGTGTCCATCGTCCATCGTCCAGTCCCACCCTTCGCCGTGGCGGTGACCCAGGCATCAACTTGTCAAGAAGCAGAGGCGGAGCTGTTCAGCGGCCCAGATACAGAGGTTCATTCTTTAGAATGTTCGTGATCTTTAGAGTGTTTCGTTGAAAGATCCATATGTTTCTCACTACACAGAGAATACCAGTTGTTCACCAAGCAATCATCCATGGATATATAAATTTTATCTATTCTTGTAATAACTACTATATGAAAGGGCAAGCAGTGATTGACTCCAACAGCAACCTGGGAGAGTCAACATGAGCCAACCTATATATTACCTGGTTGGACGGTTTCCGATGGTGAAGACTTTTCCATGCTCTTCCACTGGATGTTTTTTATCGTCGCCGTCCTTTCGGCCCACCCCAAACTGTGGGGGGCTCCGGAGATGACTGTGGTATGAGAGCGCTCTTGCTTCAAAATGTTTCAAAGACACAAATTGGGAGGGGGATGGCAGGAGGAAGTTCGTACGAAGAGCAGGGTCGGAAAGTTTTGGATAATAATTTGCTGTTTTGTGAGCCGTGTCACACCTATATAGTCATGTGACATTGCATCCCGGCGCAAAGGGAGGGCGCATCTCGCCTTTCGACCCTGGCATGGCAGCTGCGTACAGAGCGCCAGAGATTGATGGGCTCCAGGCTCCGTGATTGCGTTGGTCAGCGAACGCCTATCCTCACAGCTTCGCGCAGATCTCCGCCGCCCCGCCCCATGTGGAGGCGACCTTCCATGAAGACCTCTGTGCCGACTGGGGCACAGAGGAGCAGGCTGCAGGCTGCTGACTTCGATGGCGTAGCCTTCGATGAGGAAGAAGAAGAAGAAGATGATGATGATGAAGCATATAAGAGTCAGACCGCTACGACTTCAGCGGCTCGGCTCACAAGACGCGACCACGTTGGCCATGCTTCTGAAGGACCGACAGGTCACAAACCACCCGGGGTCACCTTCGTCTTCGAAAAGGACGCTCTGCAGGCCGCCGACGACGTGGCTCGAGGGGTCATGCCTGGAGGCGACGCAGGCAAGCCCAATAGAGAAGCGGCCACATTCCAGCACCACCCAGCTTTGCCGGAGATGTTGAGGCTGAGATTTTGTATGAGGAGGTATCGACGATCCCTCTATCGGTGGAGCACGATAAGAAAGGAGTTGCAGCAGGCGCTGAGCGCGCTCAATGCATTGAACTGGAGACTATGCCCTTGAAATGGAGGAGATAGATAGATGTTGACCGTTACAACATGGAGAACGGCATCGAGATCCTCCTCGCTGACCATCTTCCGGAAGGAGGCTTGATCATGGAGTTTGGCCCCCGCATGGTTTGATTATACAAGGAGAACCTGCGCATGCCTTCGTGAGGTGCTTCAGGCTCATGGAGAGGAAATGGCAGGACGCGCAGTGTCCTGACAAAACGAGAGCACTGAAATTGCACAGCTTTTCCGGCAGGACTCACTCTGACAGGTCTTGCGCGGCGCCATGCTCCAGCACTCCTTCGAACCTCGCAAAGCTCGAGGCTGTGCGACTAAGGGACGAGGCCGGTTCACGGCCAAGTGGAGGACCTGGCGGGCATCAGCCGATGATCCACCTGCTATTGAGGTCCAGGCTGAAACAGCGTCAACACATGCATAGTAGTGAACTTCTTTAAAAAACTTACAACAAAAGCAACAACTGGCAATGCAACTCTGACCGTGTAAGCTGATGTTGCCACATGTTTCCATGCCAAGTGGTGTGAAACTAGCCTGCAACAACAGCATCGTGTGTATAGCTGAGAACCCCAATCTACAAGCAACAACTCAAAATGCATAGCCAAGAAACAGGCCCAAAGTCTGTTTCACACATCAAGTCAGTGTGTAGCTGCAGCCATTAAAGCCACACAACACATGAGTGCACGCCTGCCGACGCAAAGGACCAAGGTGTTATAGCTGAAGACGATGCAGAGTTTGGGGAAGAAGAATGCCAATCTGATGACGATTGCATAGAACCAGTGGAAATTCATGATGCAGACCCCTTGATTGAAGTGGGCGCAGAACCCTCGGTTGAAGTGAAACCAACCATATCATCCTGGACCGCCTCAACCTCCCTTGCCGCCCTTTGCGTCTGCTGCTGTGAAGCGCCAACCGCAGATGCTGTGTCCGATGCCGACATGGACGACAAAGATCAAGTCAAAGGAACCTTCAAGGAAACGGGCTTGCGTGTTTTGCATCGTTTTGTGATGGATTGCGCAAAAAAAACGCTATCGTCACATTGCATGTTTCGAGACGTGTGAATCAAATAGCAAAACATGAGCTTGGCCAAATAAATCAATCTAGCTCCTGAGCATGCGAGTGTATAGATGCGTGCGCCCGTGCATGATTGATCCCATAAGTAATCGATTTGTCCTGCGGCAGGATACCAAGCCCTTAGCTGAGATTTCTCCCAAATTGCCGGATTCTCTGGAAGGGCAAGCCGAGAAGGCTTGTGCGCATTCAAGGAGATGCCACAGTGGAATGAACACAGTTGAAAACACAACCAGCAATAGTCCAAGGCTTCAGCTGCGCGAAAAACGAATGAAAACAATGAAATGTTCTATCCATTTCTTCAAGATAATTTGAAACCAACCTTGGAACTACTCAACGCAAACCATCAACCAATCATTGTCATCATACTAAAACTAGTTGTTAAACTATATGCGTTTCTTGTTTTTTCAAAAATATCTTTCAGATACAACTTTGATTGTTGGCTAAACACTTAGCTGCCTTTAGTAAACTATCTAAACAGCTACAGCTAAACCATCCAATGTTTTATATACAAAAACTTTTACAACATGCCCAACCTTGAGCAAGTTTGTGGTTCATCCAAGATGCGGCCGAAGCAGCAAGCCTTGATCGTCGCTCAGATGAATGCCACTTCCTCGGCTACTTCCTTGGTGATTTGATCACACCAGGCTACACGGCCGGGAAGTCACCGGTCCTGATTCATCCAATCGCCGACGCAATCGCTCTTGGACTCGGTCCATCGGCTCACAATGAGCTTTGCAGAGAAGCTGGTGGAATTGGACATAGCAGGTCTACGTCGTGACATCTGCAAGAACTTAACGTGGATCCCCACTGCTTGACCAAGAGGAGCAAACCTTTGAGAGACGAGCTGGGGGAAGTGGCAAGTGACGCAAGCGAGCCACATATGGTGGTTCCATCAAAGGTCATTCGCCAAGAACGATTTTCGTTGCAAAGAGCCCCTGAGGTGCGACCACCAGAAAGTGAAACCAGTGCTACTTTGCTGTCTTGTGAACCATGTCACACCTAGCCATTTGGCATTGCGTCTGGTGGAACGGGAGGGAACGTGCGATCTCGACTCGACCCTGGCATGGCAGCTGGATGAAAGAGCACGGCCTGAGGAGGTCAGGGATTGAGGGGCTCCAGGCAAGGCGACCTCCCAGTTCGACTTCCTGGAAAAAGGAAGGTATTGGTTGGATCAGGGTTGCACACCCGGACTCACCCTATTCCTTGGTGGTCTCCCAAACCCAACAAAAGAAGAGAACGCGTCACAGCTCTTAGACCCATTCGTTCCGCTTGGCAGATCAGGTTGCAGAGCTTGGGGCCAATCCTGCAGGCTCAGGACTGGGTGGAAACCCACCGGTCACGGGGCACGTCCGACTGGTCACCGCGGTGGTTTCCACCAACCGGCGCTGGAAACAGGGTGGTTTGGAATCTCCTTGAACCGGGGTGGTTCAAGCAGACCGAGAGCAGAAAAGATGTGTTTGGGTGCCTGTGGAGAGGATTTTTCATTGGACAACATAATTAGAACAAAAGGTTGTTGCGCTAGTTGGCAACTTGCTAAGAGTAATGATGTGCCTGGTTCTGCTATTTCCACAGGTCTGTCCCGGTTACCAAAGCATGTTGCTCTATTACTATTTGGCCCCGTCCCTCCTGGCCATCCCAACCCCCAGCCATCCCAAATCAATTCCCTTTACAATGCAGCATCCGCTTGGAAGCGATGCCACAGCAAGTTCGTTTACTAAGCAATCAAAACACATGGTGGTCATAGCGATGAAGGTGATGTTGTTTGTGAAGGCAATGACAAAGATAACCGGCGTCCTTGCGTCACTTGCGAAGCCAATTATCATGCAGAAAGCAAGAATGCCAAAACACCTTGGGCAAAACAAACGAAGACACTTTGCAGAATTGTTTGCAAGGGGCGCTGGCGGCGTTGTTTAAAAAATACACCGGCATAGACCACAGATAGCGGGCGTATAGGTTTGCCGCGGTGGGCTGTCACCGCAGCGCGCAACATCAGACCAGTCCACCAATTTGCGCAACGTCTATCAGCTGAATGCACCCGCGTTGCCCAACACAGACGTAAAACTGCAAGATCGGCAAGGGCCAGCCAAAGCTGCCGGGACGACGTGATGATCATTGCTGCATAACACGCTGTCATGCGAAATGTGACGGCATGTCATCCCTGGCATGACATGATGTCTTCCCTGGCATGACGTGATGTCGTCCCTGGCCTGGCATGTGGGCATGACGTGATGTCATCCCTGGCATGCCATGATGTCCCTCTGGATGACATGGTGTCATCCCTGGGCATGACATGATGTCATTCTGTGGGCATGAGATGATATCATCATGTCAACCCTGGCGTGACATGATGTCATCCCTGGCATGACATGATGTCATTCTTGGTATGACATGCCATGATGCCATGCCAGGCGTCACGTGATGTCACCCTGGCATGACACGATGCGTCCCTGGCATGACGCAAAACGGAACGCCGACCGACCCAGCATCTGCGCCAGCAAAACAAAACGCCGAGCCAGCGCCAGCATCAGCACGGCAGCAGCACCTGCAAAACCAAAACGCCGATCCAGAGCCAGCACCT